GTATCGATTAGAAGCAACGATCTCCCCTTTTTGTTATCACGAAAATGAAACTCGAGACTAAAAGTTAAAAAGGAAAAAAAAACCGAAAAAGCTACGAAAAAGGAAAGAAAAAAAAAAAAAAAGAAAATATTACATATATACATATAATATATATGCATGGCCGATGGTCACGTTCGACCGATCCTCCGACCTCTTCCATTACACACCTTTCAGTAGTGATTCGTTAGTCCTGAGCTACTCTATGAATAAAATACATTATAATTACATAAATATGCATACATACATATATAATAAAAGTAAAAATAAAAAAAAAAAATAAAATAAAAAAAATATAAAAAAGTATATTTTGGCGGCACGGTCAAAATTCGTCAATCCTCGAGCCCTCGGAGCGGGGATTAAAAATACGTTTAGATAATTTTGTCCTGGGACTAGCCTGGACGGTCACAGAATGCGAACACACATACACGTACACGTACAGAAACACAAACAGAAAACATGCACAGAGAAGGCACATACACGTAAAAAAACACAGACCCATACAGAAAGGGACAGTATACATACATATATACATACACGAAGTGCATACATACATACAGGACAAGACGCTCGACAGAGACAAGAGAAAAAGAAGAAGAAATATAAACAAATAGATACTGGATAAAAAAAAAAAGACGGTCACACAGAGATAGGACACACGTCTGCGCGAGCGCGTAGAGATAGTTAATCGAGTACACATTATGTGCGCATTAACGTTTTGGTACCGTAAAGCACTGTCTAACGCGCCTCTCTTTATACGTAACACACGTATTTCTTAAATACTTTAAAAATAAATAATCCAATACCGCGGTGAAAAGCCTCTCGAAGCGATTTTTACGCACTGTTATCGGCTCTCCTTGCTCGTCGTTGCCCGATCGTTGTCACGTAAGCGATCGCATGCACGATTGTTACTACTTACACGATTAAATTTGTTGCTTCTTCATTAACAACAACAACAACAACAACAACAACAACAACAAGAACAACAAGAACAACAACAATATCGATCGCTCTCTTGCTTTCTAATTATACAGTCGCGTCCATTTCTCTTCCTCGCTCCCCCAAGAGAATGGACGTATCCAATTTTTGACGATAACGTAGCCGATCGTAGCGTGATCGTAGATCATAGTGACAAAAGCAAAATTTGGATGCGTTACAGACTCTAGCAATTACGGTTCGTACCTATCGACATCCTCATTACGCAAGAAAAGAAAAAAGAAAAGAAAAAATAGGAAGAAACCAAAAGAATCGCATAAGAGATAATTTTTGAATCTCGACGATCGCACAACGACGCGAAGAGGAGAGCGATGGCGAACCCGTGACGGTGCGCCGACTGACACGTTTCCGGACGGTTAAATATAACTTATAGAACGAAATTAAGGGATGCATAATTATTCTGCCGATTAACGAGTAAGTGCGTAGAATTTATTTAATTGTAGATAAAGGGAGAAAAAAAAAGAGAAAACGAACGAACACGTACATACACAGAATCACGTACGCGCGAGTGCAAATATACATCTTATCCATGATCGTTCACGACCTACCTAGACACAAGACACACATGCACACTTCCACGTCCACCGTCAACCACCACCACCACCATCACCACTACCACTACCGTACACATACACGTTTACTTACCCTCCCACAGAGAGAACGAGAATGCATGAGAGTGAATGAATAAGAAAAAGAGAGAGAGAGAAAGGAAGATACGAATGTGTGAGAGAAAGAAATCTAAAAAGTATGAGAGATAAACGGAAAGCGAGAGACACGTACACGAAAAAAAAAAAAAAAAAAAATAAATAAATAAATAAATAAATAAATAAACAGAGAATAAGGCGCAACACGTACACGCGCACGCACGTTGCAATTAGACGTTATTATCGCAATTTGGAGTTAAATTTTATAATATATAATATATAAAAATATATATATATAATAAATAAAAGTTGACGGATAATATAAAGTTATATATATAATGTCTAAACGAAAGGAGATCGTATCTATTTGAGGGTGACGTAAGATGTGCGCCGTTTCAATGATTCTGCTTTTAACCCTTTTGTACGTTATACATACACACATGCACACACAACCACACACAATGTCATAAACACCTACGAAAGCGCGCGCACTACTTATATCGATTTTTAAACGAAACGAGAGAGAGAGAGAGAGAGAGAGAGAGAGAGAGAGAGAGAGAGAGAGAGAGGGAGAGAGGGAGAGAGAGGGAGAGAGCATCACAGTTTTCGATGTGAGATACGTGCGTCGCTGATCTGAAGACTGTCCCGTTCACTATACGATTTGTTTTGAAACGCTTTTTAATGGAGTAAGATCTGTAGAATAATATAATTTTGAGATCGTTCAAACCCATTTTAATTTTTCATTGACAATATCTCGTTACTTCTCTACGTTCTTTTTTTTTCATTCGTTAAAGAGAGTCTAACGAAACGATTGATATATCCGGTTTTTTTGACATATCGAATCCGAAATCTTCAGATTATCTGCAGCAGAATCCTCTTGCGTTGAGTCTTTCAAACAAGTTCCACCTACACTCGCATCTTTTTTGTATGTCTATATCGTATAAAATAATAATGCGTTTCATTCGCGATTCGATTAAAATTTTTTTTTTTCTTTTTGTTCCTTTTTTCTTTATTTTTTTTTTTTATTTTTTTTTTTTATATATATATGCATATATGTCCATAACGCATTGCAGGATGTTCTGAGAAGACACACAAGAAAAACTCCAAGACACACGATGTTATAGCACTCGATATACGATCAACGTCCACCAAGTATATCCCTGTTAATGAATGTAAATGTCTTTTAAAGAGAGAAAAAAAAAAGAAAAGATAAAGAAAAAGGTGGGTAATCTCTTCAGCTTCGGAGCTTCACAACACGATATATCGACGATGATAAGTGTTACAATCGCTTGGCTTCAGATGTTGCAAGTAATAGCGCCGCTTGTATCGAATGTTCTCACTAAAATAACTTAATATTCCTATACCACATCCATTAGATATATTTCGTGTAAATATCAGGCACCCCGGATACACGGACCGACAAACTCGATGGATGGATATTAATCATGGAATATCGAAGTGCTGAATTTAGTAAATTTACAAATCGAAGAACGTAACATAAAAGAAAAAAGAAAATATTATCCTCAGGACATCCTGCCGTTCTACGCATATTCCGAAAAAATATACGTAGCAAGATGTACGTGATAGAATCCTTTTTATCTCAACAAAATCATCTCGTACATCGTATTATTATCGTTGCATAATCTTCGGCCCCTCAAAAAGCGACGATCGGCCTTGCGTTCGCGATCGCCTCGAAGTTAATACAACACAAAAAAGTAATAAAAAAAAAAAAAAAAAAAAAAAGTAATGAGTCTATTTTGCGCGTAAACTTTAAGACTGCGGATATATGATGCACTGTGTGAGAGCCGGTCTTTCGACAAAATTTCTACTCGTTCGACTTCGTTGCGGATATATCTATCTAATATACGAAATAAATAAAAATCCTAGCGAATAAAGAAAAAAAAGCTAGACGAAGGGAGAAAGAAATCTCACCAGGATCCGCGAGGATCATTATCGTTAGTAACGGAAGAAACGGAAGACAGCATATTATTATAACGACGATACGATCAGCTTAGATCTTCTTAGACGATTCTACGCGAAAAGACGCAGTGATCAAATACACCCACGATTATAGTCACAGGAAAGGACACATAGAAACGGAAGCTCATTCTCTAAACGATTCGGAGAGACTGCAACGTGACCGGCACTCCATCCTAGGATTATCCCTCGAAATTAACGTCGAAGAGAGATGAAGAGAGCGAGAGAGAGAGAGAGAGCGAGAGCGAGCGAGAGAGAGAGAGAGAGAGAGAGAGAGAGAGAGAGAGATGTTACGGTTTTACGTCTAAAGACAAATTTTTATTAGTACCTTGAAAGAAAAGAAATTACCGGGGTCCTCGAATTATAACTATTGTTATATACATATACATATACATATACATATATATATATATATATATATATATATATATATATATATACCTTTAAATGATAGATCTCCGAGAGAAATTCGTATCGTAACCCTTTGTTTCTTTTTTCGATTAGACGCATAGACGAATTATGCGCGTGCGAATGGCGTTGAGTGGATGTGGTATAAGGATATTTATACGAATCGTGCGAAACGAAAGGAACATGTGTAGCACGATAAGCAAGAAAACGCGACTTGTGAGGGTCACCTATACTACTACTCTATGTCCTTTCGTAGAATTATCGGGAATTTTGGAATTGGGAGATACTCATGGTTTATGTTTTGAAAATACATTATCTCGTTATAAAGTGTTAGAGAATGAAGAAATGGCTGAGACTTTAAGCAGCGCGATCGCAGTTATATTTTAATAGGGTTTGTAGAGAATATCGAATGATATTTGTTGGACACGAAAATAAAGGGGATCGTCGTGTGGCCTTCGCAGAAATCGTTAGGATGATGTAATAAAATGGGATCCCAAGAAGAATAAAAGGAGCGTTAACTTTTGCGGATAGAAAAAGGATAGAATAGCGAACGTTTAACAAACTTTTTCATGGAAATCGAAAAGCTCGAATTCACAGAGATAGGTAGAAATCTAGAGCGATGCGGAGATATATAGGCGGAAATAAAAAGGGGATAATGAGTTATGCCGTTGTCCTCGTTAACACTTTTTGGTTAAGAGGCACGATGAACGAAATATAAACGACATGTAATAGCCGATGTCACTCCGTGTAAGGACGAAATACAGTCATTTTTTACTACTAGAATTGTAACGAAGCTGCGTCAACAAACTCGTTTAGCTCGTTTCGGACGTCGATCTTTTTGTTTAGACGAAACTTTTTCTATCTTTACTTAATCAATGTTTCACCACAAAAACAGGAGTATCGTTTTTTCTCCTAAGTGATATCTATCTATTTCCATAGTTGGTCCATTGTAATCGCTTATCCAGCCACTTCCTTTAAATAAACGACTGATTGGCGTTATTATCGTTTCATCATCCCTAATTATATAACGCAAAGGTAAGAATCGCGTTAAAAGTGCATTGCTCGTTTATGAACGATTCATTCATTATCGAACGGTAAGAGATTTCTTTTATAGCACGTCACGACAGGATTAATATACACCTAAAGGGCTAGTTCTTCTTCGATTTCGATTAGCGTATCCCTTCAATGATGAATTTCTCTAAGAACAATTATATTTTACATTGTTTCCTTTTCTAGCGATGATATAAGATCTGTTTTATACGAAACACTGAGAGATAGATCAATCGAACGAGAAAACAAATAGTATAATTCTAACGTAACTTTTTTGCATCCTGGGGAACGATAATTATCAGCTACGAGGAAAGGCTAATTCCCCAGAGATGCCTCACACTGTTCGTTATTTTCTGATTTGCAGCAAACACATTTGATACTCTCAGCCTCTGAGACTATTGTAGAATCTTCAATAAACGTTCATCCCGATGAAGAAATTTGTTAATTGTATGCTAACTGAAAACCTAAATAAACCGCCAAACCCTGTGCAATAAATTAAACAAAAACAAAAAATTGTTGCTAATAAATCTTCATTTGAAACGATATTAATTGTTTGTTCTATTAAACATCTTATTAAACTCTCTATGATAATTCATCGATTTTCTTCTCTATGTAACGACGCGTGTATGTATCCATGTAAAAATCAAAAATATGGAAAAAAAGAAAAAATGCGTGCCAACGATATTATTCGCTCTTCTTCTACGTTGACACATGATTCATCTGTTTTAATGTACTCCTTTCCCTCCAGAGTGCGCCTCTGTTCCAAGCATGACGTCTAACATAAGCTCGTCTGTCGGTCGACGTTCCAAGTAAGATTTTATTTAATTGTTATTTACAACAATATTACTTTCAAGTATATTCGTTTGATCAATTACTTTAACTTATTATCAATGATTATCTATATCAATTTTTAACTTTAATACTTTTCCTTCCTTAATAACAACTTTTTGAAGGTTAGGAACGCATACTATTCTATGTTCTTTCTTGTCGATTATTCTCCTAATACAATTATTACGCTTTACCGTTCAGTTTGAAGATAGCTAGTGGAGCGGTAATATGCGACGAAAGTATCTTGAAAGGAGATATTACGATCGGCACAGGAACCGTAGTACATCCTAGGGCAAGCATTTTGGCTGAAGCTGGCCCAATAATTATCGGAGAAGGAAATATTATAGAAGAGATGGCAACAATAGCAAACAGGTAGGACTAACAAATTTTCATATTTGAAATAAAATCTCTTAATGTCCAATACTTTTATGCAGATCACCACCAGATGCTCCAGAATCCACAATAATACCTGTACAAATAATTGGTAACTATAATGTTTTCGAGGTAGATTGTATCTGCGAAGCGCATAAAGTTGGGGATAACAATATTTTAGAAACTAAAGGTGATACATTTTGTCGTTCTTCTCGTTTTGCTTTTATCGTAATTCTACGTTATATTAATCTTTTTTATCTTTTATAGCACACATTTCTAGTGACGTAGAACTAACTAACGGATGTGTAATAGGAACAGCTTGTTCCTTAGTAGAACAGGAAACTGTTCCAGAAAATACTGTAATATATGGCAGCAGATGCCAACGTAGAGAAATGAATGACAAACCATTCGTAATGATCAGACAATTTTTTAACAACACCTTTAATATTCCTATATCCCTTGTATCTAAATTTAATATTACTCTGCTTTCGCTTTAGCCACAGGTAGGACAACTCGACTATCTAATGAGGATATTACCAAATTATCATCATTTAAGAAAGCCTAATGTGAAATCAATGAAAGTAGAACCGACGGTATAATCATGGAATTGTTGTCAGATTTCTAACAATATATATCTAACCCAAACTATACCAGTTATATTCTCTATATACATAAATACGATAAAACTTGTATGTAAAATACTTTATATGGTGTGAGAAAAATAATGATACTTGAAATAATTTATGCCAGTTATCGCATACTTGATGATAATAATAATAATTATATTATTGCACTTTGTAAATAAATCAATCAAAATCCATTGCTTTGTTAAATAATATTTTACGATGGACACGCATTTAACCAATAACATAGATCGCTTCACGGTCTCGTACACATTGAAATCTATGAGAACTTTTTTATTCGACGCAAATAAAAAGACATCTCGATAATACGATAAATATTATACTGAAATAAAACTTACTATATCATTAAAAAATAATATAAATTAACATACCAGTATCGTTCGTGAAAATTAAGGAGCATAACGTATACTCGATCCAAAGGTCACAAACACGGTGTGACGAGATTGTACGAAAGCACATTCGTTTTATTTATTTTATTTAAGTCCGTAATTCTTGACTGTCACTAAATTTTAACAAGAAAAACACAAATACCACCATTATCATCCTCTTCATTCAAACTAACCGAATGATGCAAGAAGTACGTTGAAAGTAAAACTGTCGAGCTTCCTGATTGGCTCTTTCTTTCGCGGGATTTACTAATTTTTAAACGTATCGATGAATCATCTCCAAAATTATTTTCATTGCTACTTGAAGTTATATGATTATCATTATGTTCAGGAACGTTATTATTTAATTCGTAACAATTAATGTCACGGCTAAATGAATCAAATTCATCGCATCATCACATATGGCAATTTAATGCAAATAATTATATACGTACTATACGTCTCAAAAAATGATTGTGCTATTATTACTGCGTAGTAATGAAACAGATTTTATATTCTTCTTAAACTTATCTAATAATTATGTCTCTTTTATCGAATAATCACCAATATTCTGACGCGTTTAGAAATAATAAAAATAGTTCTTCACAAATGGATCAAAAATTATCGTTAGTCATTACCTTAGTTTTTACTCGACAGATGAAACAGTACATTCTGTAGTTCGATCTTGCCACGAAAAGATGGCAGCATATTCACGAATAGAAAGATCACATATATATATATATATGTGTGTGTGTGTGTGTGTGTATAGTAGATATAAAAAAAAGAAGAAAGAAAAATAAATTTGTAGTGGAACGTAAAGCTGCAAACGTCACGTTTCGATTAATTTTTTGTTATAATTACAAGTAGTATAGCAAGTACATCTCCATTGTCAAATATATTTATTCATTTCGAAAGTTTTATATACGCAAAAAGACCACATTGAAAATAATGAGTCCTTTGAGCGGCATCTCTTACCGACGTCAAACTATTTCAACGGGAGATCGGTTCTTTCGTTTTATTTCGCGTCTTCCAATGAAAACTCCCTTAGAGAATTCATTGCGTCGCAATGCTAAACGCTACACCTATGAATATGAATTAGCATCTCCTAGCGAGAGGGGGATTTTGGTTGCAAACCATTTATCGCTTCCGTCAGCTTTAACCAACCTGCGACAGTGATTCTCAATCAATCGTTTCGTTTTCTATTCAAACTTGACCATCCAAAAAATTGTGAAAAAAAATTCTCTCCTACCAAATAGGATACCGTAAAATGATATCGTAAACTCGAATCTTTCAGGAAAATCTTGATATACGTTTATGTATGTATATGTACGTGTGTATATGTATATGTATATGTATATATATATATATATATATATATATATAGGTAGACGTATAATGAAAAAATCGTTGAACGAAGGATAGAAGAAATGTAAAAAGTAAAGGACAGAGAGGGATTCGCAAGTGGCGTTTTATTTTAATGATCGTCCGTGGCAACCCCCTGCGACGGTGGTAACTCTTGTCGCCCGAAAGTGGTGACCCGAGAGAGCTGTCATATTTTGACGTCCGCAGCGGGCGTCGTATGAGAGAAGGAAGGGAGGAGAAGAGAAAGAGGAGAAGAGGGTTGAGATTATTTTTCATGGCATTACGCCGCTCTCGAGGTAGTGGGCTGAGTCGAATTCCCAAGAAGGGAGAGGGTAACGAGGGGAAAAGCCCTAATGGCTCGACGACGAATTTACGTAAGCTTTTATCAACGCTCTCGCTATCCTCCCACCCCTTGACTCGTCATCAAGAACGGAAGAGACTGCGGTTTCTCGGTGACTCTCGTCATATCAAAATCCCTCTTTGCTTTCTTCGAAATGTGACGTAGGATATCTTAGAAGAAGGTCGACGAAATTCTTGTGTATCTAATTCAACAAATTATCCTACCAATTCATCATCCGCGAATGATAAAAAAGAAAAATCACAGGATGCATATTAGCGATAAAAACGATCGTTACGTCCAAAATAAAGAACCACGAGGTGTCTCTAACATTTTCGCCGGCGGAATGAACGAAATGGGGAGGGGACTGAGAGAGAGAGAGAGAGAGAGAGAGAGAGAAAGCGGTTAAGCATTGATTGCAAGCCATCATATCGTGACGAGCGTCGACAAGAGCGTCGACGGACAGGCCCAGGAGGAGGGTAGAAAACGGGGTGGTTCGGGGAGCACGACCAGTACGCTTGTCGTTTCTCGCATCAGCCATATCGCACCCTCAACATCATCGCCACCGCTATCGTTCGTCCTTCTCGTCCTCGCCGGTTCGGAGTAACGCTTTTCCCCTTCCGCGTGCGCGCGCGTCGGCTTCCAGTCGCGCAACGCAAATTGACGTCTGCAGACACGAGCTCGAGGTAGCTAGCTAGCTAGCTCGAGTGGCAAACGAGAGTGACGAGCGTTACGAATCCGCGACTCGCTTAACATTTCCATTGTGAGCCCTTTCTCCCCTTCTCTCTCCCCCCCTCTTTCTCGCTCTATCTCTCTCTCATCGTTCGATTGTGAGTCCCCGACACTCGCAAATGCCGCGGCGAAAGGAAGCGAAATTGAAAAGGGACTTGAAAAGGGAAAGAGAAACGGCGCATAACATCGGACTAAACTTCTCTCTTCGTTAGGCGCGTGTCTGCAATTGTGTTTCGTGCCTTTATACAATTCCTGACAACGTCGAAGGAATACCGCATATCTAATGTCGATGATCGTTCTTTAACACGAGGCAGGGAACATAGCATTTGCCACAATTATCTACGGTTCCTTATCTTAGATAAGCTCCATTTATTAACGCCATTAAGACAGGAAACGAATCAATCGACGCAACGAATAATACCTTCTCTTACTCGAGCGACGATTAGAGAAAGATAGAGAAGGCGAGAGAGAGAGAGAGAGAGAGAGAGAGAGAGAGAGAGAGAGAGAGAGAGAGAGAGAGAGGAATCAAAGGATCGGATCCGCCCACGAGGCCGTCCAAAGGGAAACCACCCGTAAAATCCAAAAGGGGTGCAGCATAGCACGAGCGGTGGCGGTGGCAGCGGCGGCGGCGACTCTGTGACGCGATTATGCTAACGAAGTTATTCTATTGTAGCGCTGTTTACAACGACGTGCGCATTAAGGCTATACCGGAACAATAGCGCCGACGATACTCTCACAGGGGAATCCTCGGAAATCGTGCCAACGTTAATACCATACGCCTATATCGCTTCCAAGAGGAAATTGCTACCGACCTCGTCGTTCTCTTAACGAGACAATGGCTCGTTTCGTGTTTAAAACATTAAAAAAAAAAAAAAGGAAAAAAAAAGAAAAGAAAAAAAAATGAAAGAGAGAAAGGAAAAAATTAGATTGGAGACGATCGCTCATCCCTTCGACGTTAATTCCTACCACAGCAAACCTATTCATGAACGAAACGAGGCAGGTAACAATGATCCAAATCCATTGATTCGGAACGGATTAATCTTTTACACTTGGATGGATTATAAAGATTCCAAGTGATGTTTTGTAGAATCCATATTATCTTATTTTTTACTTTACTTGCTAGTTAACATTTATAAGTATAGAAGCCCGACCGTGTCGTCGTATTCGCCATTTCTTATCTTTCTTCATCTTTACTATTTACTTTCTCCGATTATTATTCCAATGGTGTTTCGAATATAAGCACGAGTGTTAAACCTACGCAATAATTCGTGCGCGTGACGCGCCAATACATCATATTGCATCCCAAGTTCGAAAGTGCGAATGAACTTTGCAGGAAAGATTCGAATTTAAACAATATACCAGAGAAGAGAGGGAGAAACGAATGGTCTTACCTTCTCGCCTGGTTACCCTCTATGGCTTGGGGCGCCACTTGACTCGTATTTAACTTTCAAATCTAAGTATTTTATGCCTTTTGCATCTTAATGTCCTTCTCGATTCACGGCCTCCATGGAACCTCTTTTTTTTCACTTGCTTTTCACCCCCTTATGTGTGTTCTCTCCACGAAATCTATACATATTTTCATGGCTGTCGTCGTACATTTCCCCGCTACATAAATTCACGCGTCGTCGGTGTTATCGATCGTTCGAACTTCGTTAGAGAAATCTATAAAAGAAAAGCATCAAGGTAAGAAAAAGATACTCGGTGTAAGAATTGGAATAAAACATAAGTTGTACGGATCGACTGGTTTAACGAGAGAAAAAGCAAGAAGAAAAATATCGAGGACTCGTATAGAACAGGGTCTAAGTTGTTGTACCTAGTGCGTACCGACGCCACGTCGATTCGAGACGCGAGTAATTCATGCTCCAACGATCCTGGCATTTATGTGTCCAACGAAGCGTGGCGACGCTTCGACGGGATTATTTGTAGGATCTCGCCATATACTCGACGTTTCCGCTGAATCCTTTGTGTCGACGGCCCGTTACCGCGCCACGAAACGTTTCCAAGACGCATTTTGGGGTGCGCTTAGAAGCGACTTTGATTTTCGCGATGAATGGGACGAAAAGAAAAAGAGAGATAAGGGAATCGATTCCTCCACGAAATCGCGGATGTGTTTGCGAAAGAAAAAAAAGAAAAGAAAAAAAAAGTATAAATAGACAGCATCGATGCACGGGGTATCTGTCGATCGTTTACTTTTATTATATCAATTACGACGAACGACGAGATACGGAAGGACCATAGGATTGATTAAGTGGAAAATCGTTATATCGAATCGTATCAATCGCGATCTCAACGGGGTGACAAATTAACAAACTTTATCCATAAAAATAATAAGCCGAATATATCCGTTTTAGAAAAAGTTGGACGAGCCGAGTTTACTTTCTGAACTTTTCACATCGTAAACGTGGAAACGCGCGTCGAAATCGTCGCGGTTATATTCATTTTCATAAACGAGACCGACAGACAGAATCGGGATCATCGAGCGTGCGTGTAATTGCTTTTTTCTTTCATTCCTATCGCAGAGAAAGCGAACGAAAGAGAGACGTAGAAGATATATAGGGTCGTTCGGGGTTCTCCCGGTTGGTCGGGACACTTCAAAGCACGACAGTGGCGCATTCGGATGCACGGAGCAAGCCGACAGACGTCGTTCGTCTCGAGAACAGGAACGAACTTCGTACCAGATAATCTTCGTCTCGTCGTCGGCCCTCTGTACGATACTCGTACATGCTTTGCCTTCGACGAAAGGGGAAGAGAAAGATGAGAGAGAGAGAGAGAGAGAGAGAGAGAGAGAGAAAAGTAGAGAGAACGTAAATGGCATTCTTCTAATTTGTCGGCACGACTTTGTCGGCTAATCAATCGACTTCGTGATTACCATGCGCCACAGCGTTAAACAACGCGACCGCCTTCTCCTCGGTTTCACCGCGTACTTTTCTATCCATCTACGTATCTGTTCCTCCGAACGAGCAAGGTGTACGCTCACGCACGCGTGTCACACGCACGTCAGGACTCGTGTCCACACGTGCGTCCTTCTCGAAGCGCCGCACCGTGTCGCCGACATTCACGATTTTTCCTTTTTCATCGAACACACACGTGTCCATATACGCGTACCACCTTATCCTCTTTGCCTGATCTAATTCCACGTTCTAAACAAGGGCCATCTTGATTTTCTCTCTGATTTAAAAATATATATTCGAACGGAAGCATCTATTCGTTGAGAGAGTTTCCTATGTATTTTTCTCTTTTCTTTTTCTTTCTTTTTTCTTTAGAGAAAAAAGAAAAGAAAAAAGAGAGAAAAAAGAGAAAAAAAGAAAAGGTAAATATCGCCAACACACTTGTCGCGCGGACGCCACGACGGACAAAAAGTGGGAGGTAATTTATAGGAGGCTGGATCGAGGAGCGTTGAAGACGTTAAACGGGCGTCCTGTCTAAATCAAGTTAATCGTACGCGACACGACTAAACGGGCTGCTATCTTGGGACGAAGCTCGAGGTCGAGCAGCGTGCGAGGCTGAAACGGGACCGTGTTTTCGATTACGCGTGAAATGAAGGCGGCGATGCGTGTGTCTTTTACGTTGAGAAAGAGAGAGAGAGAAACAGTATCCGTAAAACCGTGCAAACTTACAAGAAACTATGTAACGATCCTTTTAGAAAAACGATTACTTTTTGCACGCGTGATTCCATGAAGGAAGATGATTATAAGGATTGATCAAAGTCATAACCCTTTCGATGTCAAAGAGTGTACGGTTGACTTTGTAGATCGTTTTCCTCCTCCCTCTAATCGACATCGATACTTTCGATATTATTCTCGATCTCGAGTAGCCGTACTCGCAAACGAAAGAAATTTCTATCGGAAGTAAGGCTCGAAGGAGGAGTATCTCCCACATTCATAATTCCAGTCGAGCTTAAGCGTGCGCTTCTGACACGAAGGTAGTGAATGGCTCGCTCTCTCTCTCTCTCTCTCTCTTTCTCTCTAATATGTATATATATATATATGTAGGTGCATAGATAAGCCATGACGTCCCTCTTAAGCGTCGTGTATAATTTGTCCGGAACTACCGACAAAACGGAGGAGGGAGTCTTGGGCTAATCCATTACAAACGCGCCGGTAAACGTGCCGTCTCATTTTCTCAACGCCCACCAATTTGCTAACCATCGATTTCGTTCGTTCGCGGCACGCACTTGCCGCGTCACGCAAACGCGTCTGTCCCGTTCCCTTCGATTCGCGATTCCTCGTTTCTTTTTCCATTTTTTTTTTTTTTTTTTTTCTTTCCATTCTTCCTCCATCTTTTTCGAGGAGCAGCCAGCCACGTTGCTCGACATTTCGACGTTGATCGATCGAAAAAAATAGCGGAGGAAGAAAGAAATGGTCGAAAACGTGTAAGACCGACCGATCCCATGGATGTACATGCACATACATATAGATATACATATAAATATATCACGTTTCCCAGTCGACGAAGCGGCAGGCAATTAAAAGATGCTCGACTCGGCTCGAAAAACGAACGAAGAACGTCGAGCATATCGCGGCTCCGAGAGTCGAGGCGTTTAAGAGTCGACGGTTTCCGTTCACACGTGCGTAACGACGCGCGTTGCGGGTCGCGCAAGGACGCCTCTGCCGCGAAAAACAAAGAAGCGGGTTTACCAAGAGTTTACTTCGGGACAGAGAGAGAGAGAGAGAGAGAGAGAGAGAGAGAGAGAGAGAGAGAGAGAGAGAGAGAGAGAGGAGAACAAGATTTAAGGCCGTCTGAGCATCCGTACGGCCACGGTATCGCGAACAATTTCAGTTATGAGCAATGATCATCGATTTCTCTTTCCTTTAAAAATGGACGCGGCTAACGTTGAAAAAAGGAAAAAAAGAATACCATCTGTTATTCCGTTAAATAACGAGCGCGTGTAATATACGGAGCATACTGGTCGTGGGGTTTCATCAAGTGATACATCGAAATGTACCACTTGAATCGAATGAATGAACGAGTTCGTCGAACTCTGGCTGGGGTTTTTTTTTTCCTTTTCCTTTCTGTTTATTCCGGTAAGTCGAGTCGATTCCAAGAATTTTTATAGGTCAATGGAATACCATATATGGAGCGTCGCCGCGTAAGCATACTACATAAATATATGTTGTGTAAAACCGTAAGCGTGTTTATATTGGTAAATTATTATAATTAGCACCACGATTTAAGGACACAAGTCCTTACATAATTGAAGAACGAGTCGCGTTCGTTGAAACGAATCATTTTTCTCTCATAAAGATAATTTATAAAGTTGATTAATTATCCAAAATTGACAAAGTTTTAAAGAAGAAAAATCATGGCGAAAGGAGGATTGGTTCAATGCCAAAATATAAATCGTTGCGAGTTCGATTATACAGATATAGTTTGATATTATGGATGCAGTATACGGTGAAATAAAACATTCGATGTCGCTGTGCCACGACGTAAATCATAGGTCCTCTCGTACGAAGTAGACGAATGAAAAGAAAGCAAAAGGAAGCTATCTAAAAATAGCAAAGATCTCGAGTAGAAATCTCTCGATTCTCGCGAGAGAGGGACGTCATGGTTAGGCGAGCAGACGCAACGAATCCGTTTTGGTCGAGTTTTCCGCGAATCTCAACTCGGATATTTAGGAATTTGTGCTTTACAATGCGTTAACTGGCAGTTTGACCATCTATGAAAACGCTCGCGTGCTCTCGATGAATTCTCGTTTCCGTTTCTTCGTCAGTTAAGCTGCATAAGTTCGCTTCTTTTGTCGAAGACGTTTGCATGCACCGTAAAACCTCTCTCCTCTTTATCTCTGGTAACGCATCGTAAAACCGTATCCGCCGTACGCGGAAGTCGAATGCTTTTCCTGCGCTTAAAATGTCCGAAAGGTTCCACCTCGAAAAATTATTATTCGCCTAGATATTTTTAGCGGAGCGCCTTTCTATTTACTCGTGCGTTTTATTTTTTCGGCCAGGAGACACGGTAGGAGACGTTGCGGCGACTCTTCAGCTCGAAAATTCTCAGCCTGATGTCTCTCTCTCTCTCTCTCTCTCTCTCTCTCTCTCCCCCCCTTCCCCCTGCCTTTTGGTACGACGCCTTCGTTTAACTTTAGATTCGGTTAAGCCCAATTAGAGTCACGTCACGTTAACGAGCATCGAAATAACGTCGCCATTAGCTCGATGTTAGCGATTAGTTTGGCTCGAAAACGAGCTAACAAGCTGGAGACTGGATTATAATTTTCCACTACTTTCAAATCGCATTAATCAAGTTTCGTAATCGAAAAAGAAGTATCTACAATTATCGTATAATTACGAGAAGAAGGCTGATGGACGTAACGCCAACGCAAATGCGAATGGAGTTACGGGATTGGGTGATGTTTCGTACGTATGATGAGAGGACATCATCGTTAACGAGCCACGACGCTGTAGCCCACCGAACACGTTCTTCTCCCGCGTATTTTTATAGCTCTCACTCGCGAAAGACCAACGTGTTTCCCATTAGCTCGATCACCGAGGAATTCTTAACGAAGGAAAATGAGGGGATGAAAATCGGTGAAAAGAGGATAAAATGAACGGACAAATCGTGAAAAGGAAGTATGAACGATATCATTGATATCGTTGGGTTCGCGAAGGAGACGACCCTTGGAGGATCGAGTTCACGGAGAAGGTTCAGACGGAGACGAGATATCTCGAGAAAAGTGCGAGAGAGCAGCAAGATGGCGGATAGGCACGAATAGGCGGCGTCCCTACGACGTCGTTGGCTGTAGCGTTGGCCAATGGTTGCGCGAGGAAGGCCTCAAAACGCCACGACCACTGCCAGTCGCGAGTTTGCCCGAGAAGCAGGGACGTTGAGAAGCCGGGACAAACACGAGGAGCGCGACGTCGGGGAGACAGGAATTAAAATGCGCCCGACGAGCTTCGCCAGTCACCCGTCGACTCGTGCCCGATAAGGTCGATGCACGTTACTTCTCCTCTCGTTGCTTCTTCTCTCTTCCTATTTTCGCGTGGACTGTGACGTCGTCGTCGTCTCTCTCTCTCTCTCTCTCTCTCTCTCTCTCTTCTCTCTCTCTCCCTCCCTCTGTGTAAATATATCCATTCATGTGATCGAGAGATGCAATGAATTAACATGTGTCAGGATGAGGACAAGAGCTTCAAAGTTCTGTGTTGAGATCCGTGAGAAATAGGAGGAAGAAGGTAGATAGATCGTGCAAACTACGTTCGATGGATCCATGGATTTAATGGACGAACGATATTTGTGATTCTTGAAGAAAAATCGAGAATCCTGTTGGAAGATAATTAAAATGACGTTCGTTCGATAGGTCGGACGATGCATTTTTTTCGGTGAAAAAGGTTAAAGGGATTTTTTGATCGAACATGGACGTGGATTCGAATATCGAAGAAACGGAGTTGGACGTTGGTTCAGCGAGCGACGAATTGGAAACGTCGATCGCCGAATCTAAAATCGCTCGACGTCCAACGCCAAAGCCATTTACCATCGAGAGTCTTATAGGAAGTTGCACGGGTGCAAGAGGGAATTGTACCGGTGACATCGGTATGTCGAAGAACGAAAAGACCAATGGAAATGAAGAAGGTAGTGAAAGGGAGAGAGAATATCTTTATCAACGACATTATCTTGCGACGGCTGCGGCTGCTACTGCTTTGCCATCAGGTTGGTCTCGAGTTTCAAACATTTTAAAAACATTAAATAAGGATTGCAAAGCGAAGGAATCGTTGATTTTAGGTTTTGGTGTACCGTTGAGTTTGTACGGGGCTTGGCTACCTATGCGAATGTATGGCGGCGGTGGCGGCGGCGGCGGCGGCGGCGGCGGTGCTTCCGGCGTCCCAATGTTACCGCCACATTCCTCGGTCAGTTATCCTTCTCATCAGGATTTGCACCAGAATCGATTAGTTCATCATTTGGGAGCCGGTACGAATCATCTTCAGGGTGCGGCTTATCCCAACAACAACACCTTCCATCGGTCTATAAATCAGCGTGGATCTACCAGTTTCACGGACAGCGACGACGAAGGTAGCATCGACTCACCGCCCTCTCCTGTTCACGATCTCTCCAAATCGAGACTAGGTGAGTTTTTTCAAGAGGCTTTAAAAACAAAGACTCTTACAAGTAAGCTTGTGTCGATTCGACGAAAGAAACGATTCGAAGAAAGTATTAAAAATGGAAATTGCTATACGTCTTCGATTTCGTGGAAAGGCGCTTGAAATTCGACCAGGATCCACCGTCCACCGTAGGTGTAGTAGAGTCGTCCCACCATTACACATGTCGTTTGTGAGAGCGTACGTATACGCGCACGCAAGCTAGCTATAAGGTAGGAGAGCCTTCTCGATAAAATAATTTATGCACGCTACCGTGTATCTCGTTCCTTTGCCGGTCGATTCGATCGTAGGGTACCGCGCATCGTGGGAGAACGTTGATGGAATTCGTAAACGCTCGTTAATCCGATGCGATTTCTCGCGTTTCGCGAAATCCTCGTACATGAGGGAGGAGCATGCGTCCCCTTCTCCCTCCTTCTTTTTCGACCGTCATCATCTCGTCCCATCGCGATTTTTTTTTCCCGCTCCCTTCTTTTCCTTCTTATATTCCTTACCATTACGTAAATACAAAAAAAAAAAGAAAAGGAACCTCCGTATAAAACCTAATATTAATTTTATGCAATTTCAAATTCGTACGAGTCGGTAAAAAATTTTTAATATTCACGAATAAAAATACTTTAGAATAATTCTTGAATTGCACGTAATTCGTCATAATCAACGAGGACGAAATTTAATGATCGGCATTAAAACTCTTGAATAAAGGGTATCAAGTTGGAGTAAGACGGGTCTCTCTTTATCTTGATAAAAAAATCATTCGCTGACTCGAATAGAACCGTGACCCAAATCTTACGTACGTCCTCATGGGTGAAATTCATCGATAGAATTCATCGATTCGGATAAAAAAACTCAATTTTACGATAGCTAATTGGACGTTGTAGCAGCTATCGTTTTCGAAAAAATATCGATAAGTGTCAATAATCAAACAGGAACGTTTTCGACGTGTCGCGTCGAGATATATCCTGAATGGCGAGGGCGACTAATTCTCGGAAAATAAGAATAATGAAAATTCCTAGACGTAGATGGGAGAGAGATTGGGGAGAAATAGTATAGGAAGGTTCGAAAGTCGAAACTCACAAAAGACCGCGAAGGATCACCGATCACGTATTTCCGAAGGTAGCGGGCCGAATGGACGATCGACGGTAGCCGCGCGCTTTTATTCGTGGCCGGTCACTTTTTATTGATGTACCGCCGACCGAATCAATTTTGTATGCACGACGAAATGGCTTCGGGGAATCTGTCATCGGTCATTTATGACACACAGTGCCGAAGTCCTTGCGTTCGCGACGACGATAATGACGCGACCACTGTCTCCTTGTCAAAACTTTTATCCAAAAATGAGATTATCGTAAACCTGTGTGCACGATGATACCCTTTAAATTTTTTATGACCAATTCTCCTCGCTCGTTCCTACGTAATCTAACGATTTACATCCTACTTTTGTTTCAATTGAACGAGAGGGAAAAGAGGTTTTTTTGGTATGCAAGACGAACGATTTTTTTGGAATAGCTCATTAGAGATTTACAACGACGCTGACGTGGAAGACGACGAATGCAATTATGCATGGTGGTAATCGATCGGTAATCACGTATGCGAGCTTGGAAAATTCGGGGAATGTATTTGATATTTGTAACACGCTCGAATAATTAACCAAGAGACTAGGAGGTAGGTAGGCAACGCGCTAAAGAGTACACACGGGTGCGCCAATGAAATCTCTTTTTCCCGCGAAATGAAAATAATTAGAGGTAGGTGCGAAAAGAAAGAAAGGAAAAAATGTTGAAATATGTCGATTATGCAATGTCCCGCATCTCGCTTACAATTAGCGACAATTCGATTAGAAAACAATTTGATAAAGAACGGGATACGGGATCGTCGTCGATCAATATTATGAACACGGAGTGCTCGACGGAGCGTCGAGAGAGAGTTATTCATTCGATGCGGCTTTCAAACGCAAACAATGTATGAATTAAAGAAGGGATTATCGATGAATAATGAAACATGAAACTCTCTTGGACATAAAAAAAAAAAAAAAAAAAAAAAAAAAAAAAGAAAGAAAGAAAAAGAAACAAAAAAGAAGCGATTTGAAAACGTTGAATCTTATTGAGAAGTAGGTACTTACTTACGTACTATTTACTAGCAATGTAAAAGTTTATTACGAGATTTTCATTCTTGATCCTGTGGCTATTATTCGCGAACCATTCAACGAGATATTCGAGTCCTACGGGACGACGCAACACGACAAAAAGCGATGATAATTTTTGACGAAATACGAAGGACGAGGAATCTCGATTATCGTGAAGCAATTATTCTCGCTAATTTGTGGAACGAGAAGACTTAATGAAATCACCAATACAAAGGAAAACGTTTGTGCGCCGCGTCTCGGTTTATATATCGATCCAAACTACATCCCCTTCTTCTCTTCTTCTCCTTGTCTCTTATACAACGAAGGAGCAGCAACGTCAGGCGACAAACTGCCTGGCCGACCGTTAATAAACCCGATTGAAATTTCATGTCGCATCCAGAAATACCCTCTGCGTCGTCTTGCGCACGCGACTTCCTTCGACGATCCCGATAATTGCTTCCGGTGTCTCTCTCTCTCTCTCTCTCTCTGACGTTTTGCCGATCGACCGCGCGTCGCGCTATATCGGGCATCTCTGCGTCGATCGCGACGAAATTATTCTCGAACGAGGTCACGGTGGTACTTTGTGTCGCAAAGTCCTTATGTACCTATTAAGCCGAAGATGTAACTAATAAAATAGAAGAAGACGATCACAAAGAAAGAGAGAGAGAGAGATCAATAGTATAGATGCTTGACATGTATCTATATCGACTTATCGCTCGATCGAGTCATTTAACGCGATCAAATCATTCGATATTATTATTATTATTCTCTGGCTCGGTTTCGGAAAGAGATCCATCTCCATTCTTCAAAGATAATTCTCGAATCGTAACGACGAACACTCTCTCTATTCGATTCGTGGCCGGTGGTCGGGCCAAATTCCCTCCTCCTCCTCTTCCTCCTCCTCCTGTCGTACTGACGTTCACGAGCAAGACCCTAACTTTTTCGCTTTTACCGCAGTTTCCAAACGACGCAACGACTTTTCCTTATTCATTGCCCACCGTGGACCCTGCATCTCGAACGACACGATATGGGAGGATCCGTCGGCGAGATTCGACTATGTTTGAGGCAAAAAAAAATGTGCGCTACCCTCCCGATGACCAGGATCGCGAATTGACTCGATCGATAGACACCACGCTCTCGTAAAAGTATATTCGTTAAAAATGTCCAATAATATTCTCTCGTTATGCTCGTCAAGATAGGTCACTCTCAAGAATTTAATTATTCTCGTGATTTAGAATAGCAAAATAATTCATGATCCAATTTAATCGTTTCCGCTCGGCAACTTCCGAGCACCACTAAATTCAACTGATCTTAAAACGATATATGAAATTATTACATCGACACCTCTTAATGAGTTCACCGAGACACGGCTGTGTAACTTTGTATATCGATTGACTCCTTCCGACGATTATTATTATCGTTAAGAACTATACAAAGTTCATTTAACTCTGAAAAAAAAATCGAATCGAACGACAGTAGTAGCTCGATTCGATCTTTAATGGAGAAGAGAGTAGTCTGGAACTTTGAGAGAGAGAGAGAGAGAGAGAGAGAGAGAGAGAACAGCGCAAAGTTTCAATGAAAAACGATCGACGAAGTGGGATCGAAACGCGATTTGGCGTATCGCCAGCGTTTCACTTAGTAGACGGCACCCTGTTGAGAACGTGTTCGTCGCGACGTATGCGCTAGTATGCTTCAATGGAAGAGAAAGATAGATAGAGAGAGGATTTGCTTTGCAGTCCGACGTATCCAGATTCCAAGCGTGCTTTTCACCCAAATAGCTTTAACCGTTTCCTGGAAATACTCGCGCATTTAAGTAATCTTCGCGATAAGAATAAGCTAGAGATAGAGAGAGTAGTACATAAGTCGTGCCTTTTCTCTCATTTCTCATCGCTTTAAAAGCACGCGGTGTTCGTAGAAGTATCAAGTCCTTTTAATTTTTTAACGACTCGCACTCGAGCTTTTACCGTTCTTCTTCCTCCAAAGGCTATTCCGTTAAACATTTTATTGCTCACTATTACTACGCTCGCGCATAACCATAAGAATCGAAAGATGCACCCAGCCAGCTCGACAAAGTTCCTCGAAAGACGAAAGGAATGAAGACGCAATATCCTCGTCTAGAAGAGGGGAATCGATCGATTCGATTTTCTCTTCAAGTGTAAAGACTGTCAGGGGACAGCGCGCTCGAGAACAGATGTGCCGAGAAAACTTGCCGTCCGGGCCGATACACGAGCTACTAGCTCGTACGAACGAAGAACACAACCGAGCGAGAGTTCTCGCGGAAGCGTTTTGCCCCGATTCAATCGAAAGTCTTTGAATAAATGAAGGCCGACTCGGGTGCATCAAACTCTCTTGCTCGATCGCTTCGACCGGTCGGTCGCGGTCAGACGCGCGCTACACCTTCGAAAACAAGGAAATGAAAAAAGAAATCGTGCGAGTTCTTTTTGCATTTTGATCGGAAGCCCGCTCCAAGGCTAAAGACCTATTACACAATAATAAGATCCGCGTGAAAGAAGGGAGACTCGCGGACACGACAGGAGAAACGAAATAGAAAGAAAGAAAGAAAGAAAGGAGAAAAAAGGAAACCTTGGTACGTGGTCGATCGGACCTCTAACTATAATCACTCGCTAGTGCAAGTTGGCTATAACATAATGACGTAATTACTTAATAGCACACGACCTTTCGAGAATTCGCATAATGTGTTCTACGCGACGGTTGATCAAATTACGACGAAGAAGAGTCGAGCGCCGCCGGTAAACGTAGCTTTATTAAACGAGATTAATACATACGCGTGGACGGTGGAAAATCCTAAGATATGAATTTATACAGTGTGACGTTATATCTTTTTTTTCCCCCTTCCCCTTGTTCTTTCTTTCAGGATCAGAAAATGGACGAGCCTCTGCCGAGAGCGAAGACGAAGGCGGAGGAACGAGCGGCACTGGCGAGGGACTCGATACTACCGACGGCTCCGTCAACGGTACCAGAAGCAACGGTTCTCCCAATGGACAAGGTCACGAAAGTGCCCGTGGAAATTCCTCGTCTAATTCGTCATCCGGAAACAAAGCTCGTCGTAGACGAACTGCCTTCACGTCGGAACAACTTCTCGAGCTTGAACGGGAGTTCCACGCTAAGAAGTATCTCAGTTTAACGGAGAGATCGCACATAGCGCATGCCCTTAAGCTTTCCGAGGTCCAGGTCAAGATCTGGTTTCAAAATCGTCGAGCAAAGTGGAAGAGAGTCAAAGCTGGGCTCAATGGCAGCGGAGGAATCGGTTCGAACGCTTCGTCGATGTCAAACTCGGGCGCAGCCGGTGGCCGTCACGGTGGAAGTACCGGACAACATACCGGAAACGGTACGAGAATCGTCGTACCAATACCGGTTCACGTGAGTCGATTGGCCGTGAGATCGCATCATCATCATTTGGAGAAATGTGCAAGACCAGCGCGCATAAGAACGACTACGACGACGACGACGACGACGACTGCAACGTCTACGGCAGGAGCAGGAGGGGCGACTGTGAACGAAGTTTGTGCGACTTCGTCCTCCTCGATTCTCGTTTCCGACGCTATGGGTTTGGTGAGCTCCTCGATGAACTTACCCAGTCAATTGCAAAGTTCACCTTTGGCCGTAGGCGTTGGAATCGGCGTAGGCGTCGGATTAAGGGCCTTCAGCGTGCCAGCTCATCGGGATGGACTCAATTCGGCTGGAAGGTAGTGAACGCTCGAATCGCGATCGCTATCGCTCACATCTTCTTTTACTTTTTATCAGGATAACGTTGTTACATATACATTCCCTTCGGCGCAATAATTACCACCTACCTGCTACCGTGAGTCTGAAATCGAGTCTTTTCTTTTTTTCTTTCTTTCCTCCTTTCTTTCTTTTTTTCCTTTTTTTTTCTTTCTTTGGTTTTTTTTCTCTTCTTTTTTCTTAATATTCCTCGCACCTTTTTCTCAACGAAAAACCCCTTCTCTCTGGGGGTCTTTAAAGAAAAGAGTCATTGCACCCGGCGCTACTAACTGGATAAGAAAAAGACACACGTGCAAAGCGTAAGAACGAAGGAGTAAAAAGAGTGAACGCGACGGTAGCCGCGACGGTAAATAGACATAAGAATCGAAAGCTGTAAATAGGAACGCGCGTATCTCTAGGATCGTATTGTATATACATCGGTCATGCATATTATAGATAATTTACGTTAGGCACGGTTTTACCCTATCGCGCTCTACTCTGTTACGGTGATATTGTATCGATTTGCCGTGTGATTATCGCAGCTGTATTATACCGGTGTCTCGCAGAACGTTGCGACAACGTTTCTCCTACATACATATATATATATATGTGTGTGTGTGTGTGTGTGTATTTGTGTGTGTGTATATACGTATAAATATACACACATCCACATATATATTTATATATATATGTATATGTATATGTATATATATATATATATATATATATATATACATACATATAGCGCATACTTTGTGTGTGTATCAAAGAGGGCAATAAAAATGTGCGAATATCATACGATATATACATCTATGCATTCATCTTATTTTTCCCGACTTTTTTGCTTATCAAAAGACTCGAAAGAAAAATTAATGAAAGAATCGTTGAGAGAATGAAGCCTTACTGTTTATCGATTTTATCGTTTCTCTCGTTAATCAGCAATTCGTCCTATATTCATTTTCCAACGATCTTTAAATACCGTTTTAATTCCTCGAGAGATCGAAATAACTTTCTTACCATCCCCTAAAAATAAACGAGTTAGGAGTGACTCGCTATTATTCCGTGGAAATAATCGAACGAAAAGCGCAATCTCCACGAAAGGATGTTTTGACAAATCGAGTCTGTGTTTGCCTGCTAGCGTTTGCCTTTTGTCGAATTTCCAAAGTCGAAGGTTAAACGCAGGCTCCCACGGGATCACCTCGTAGCTGGAAATTACCGAGATACACCGCAGGCGTGCCACATTTTCGCAGGCTACGGCGCGTGCTAAGGCCGCTTTTGAAAGAGGGACGCAACGGGAAAATTCGTCGGTCGAACAGCAGCACCTCGTGGGCGTGACCCCATATGCCGTCTCGGAGCTAAAGTGACACAAAAACCATTTTTTTTCTCTCTCACGTTTATAGACATAGGTGTACGTATCACAGGGGTACAGGCTGGGCCCGTTTTTTTTTTCTCTAAGCCTGCTATTTCGACTTAATGCCTGGCTAATTTCGGATATAACTTTTTCAGAATAAAACAATCAGATTTCTTTCTGTCTGGGAAAGTTAGCTATAAAGGACTAAAGTTTTTGACTAACGTAAGAAAACAGTTGGAACGATTCATGGTTCATTTGGGGTAGGTTGTTACTAAGGAGAGAAAATGGTTTTACGGGGAGAGAGAGAGAGAGAGAGAGAGAGAGAGACAAAAGAGAAAAATGGAACATAAGGATGAGAGAGAGAGAGAGAGCCAGTCCAAGAAAGAAGTCCAAAGTTGTTCCTAGCAAAATGTGTAGTAGGTATAGCGGTATAGAGTGTACACAATGGCGAGGCAGAGTGCATTACGGTTAATACACGAAGGACCGCGGTCGTTTAGTCGACGATCTCGGCAGTTACCGCTTCGCAAGGGATAAATCATCTCCCGATTCCGCCACGCCTACCGGAGGACAGAGAGAAGCGGCTCCCCTCGAGCGTAACGTACGACGTAGACGACGTACCACCGCCGTTCTGTCGTATCGCGCGGTCGATGAGAGAACACTAAAGGGATGGAAAGATTCTTTGTGAACCTTCGAAATAATAAACAACAAAATATAAGGATTCACCTTTCTTGCCTCGACTTTTCTACATCGTCGCTTATCATAACTTTATGTTCTTTAATTCCTTGCTAATGGATCTTTCGATAATTTAATGTCCTTATTTGTTACGTTGTAGAACGAATAAATGAAATTATTGATAAACTGGTTAGTTCGACTAATCGTACGAATCGATTTGTCATCTCTTCAAAGATGAGACTTCCGGGAAGCCATTTCCCTTTGAATCCATTTATACTACCGCTAACGTTTCCTGAACAATTATGCGCGCAAAACTCGAAGAAGGGTGCTCGAAACGGAAGAGCCGGATTTATCATCGTCCGTACGAAAGAAATAAAGAAGGGATACGGGAGGGGCGAGGAGGTGGACAATCGTGGTTCACAAATTTGATGATCGAACGATCGCACGCGAAAGTAAAAGAGTGACTTCAACGCGTGGCCGTGAAAGACGTTTGTCGATATTTCAGCGTCGATCGAGGAAAGGAATATCCACGGAAACGATTTTTCGAAGTACGTACAATAGGAGGTAAGTACGCGTGTTGCATCTAACGACGCGAAGTTTATAGGACGCGTGTTATAAGACGATTCGTTGCGCTCTCTCGAGCTACGATTTCTCCTGGTCGATTTCACGGCCCTTTCGGCTGAAAATGGGAAAATCATCCTCGGTCCTTGACTGCGGGACACAAGGACTGTGGGAAATAGGGCTTCAGGAATATTCTTTCCCTTTATCGGGGTTCCACCTAAATCGGATCAATTAAAAGAAATTACACGGATTCTTATTACGAAATAAATCTGATCTGTTGCGAAGAATCGGAGGATTCATCCGGAAGTGCATATCGGACTTGATTCATCCGAAGATTCGTCTTTGGCAACGAACGTGGAAAGAAAAAGAAGGATAAGAGGAAAGGGAGAAAAGGGATATTTCAAAAGTAGTAGGAAGAAGGAAAGATCGAGATGAGGAGAAGAGGACGACGGGGGTGGCGTGGGAGGGGGAGTGTGCGAGGAGAGTTTAATGTTCCCCTCCAGTGGGTGACTCGAGGGTGTAATTGCCGTAGTGGGCGGAACGGAGCGAGCATCGTGCCAATGGGCGTGGTTCGCTGATTACACCGCGTTGATACTGATATCTCGGCTACCGGCAACGAACCAGCAAGCAACCTCTTCGGCGCAGTCCCTCTTCCCTCGTTCACCTTTTCATCCCCTTTCCTTCTCCCCCTCTCTCCGCGAAATCGACTCAAATTCGAAGAACTTTTCATCAAAGGAAAACTCTCTTTTTCTTCCTCGATTAATCGGTAATCGACCATTTTATATTTCGCCTCGAAATAAGATAGATACGTTATCTAATATTTCGTTTACGAAATAGCTAGTCCGGAACATTTCAAAAGTCACCATCCGCGACGAATTTTCGAGATCGATGAAAGAATTACGATATCAGGGTGAAGAAGGAAAGGATTCGCAACGGAACCTCCCCTTCGTGGTAGCAGCACATGACCAACTAAAAGACACACTTTGCTCGCAGAATTTTGAATGGACTAAGATCCATTCGAAAGTTGCGTCGTAAGCGTTGATCGGATTAACCCTTTGAACCAGGGCACGATTCGCAATAAAGATCTCTAGATCCTTACAAAAGGTCCGGTAAACTTTGAGAATAAGAGGATAAAAGAGCGATAAATACGAATACGTTGGACAGATTTACATCGACGACGAAACTACTAGTAGCAAAGTACGAGGAGTGTTGTCGATTATTTGGATTCGTTCGAAGGAAACGATACGATTATCGAAACGGTGAAAGAAAGGAGGAAAGCAACGGAAGTGATCGTAGAGTAAATGAAGGAAACCCTTGCCGTGGCATCGATGGTACACGCCCTGCTGACTGGACTGTTTTTTTTATCGTTTCTACGACCGAAAAATCGACCCACCCCGTGGAAACAACCGATGAGCGCGGTCCAGGAGAGGAAAAGGAAGGAAGGAAGGAGGAAAGAAAGAGTACGAGTTGGAAAAGAGAGAAAGAGCCTGGTCGATTCGCCTGCAGCTGTAAACGGGGACCGCGTGGTGGGTGGAGATGCGAACGTTCGCCTTCGAGTCAGCATCGCACGTTTTCTCCTATTTCTAAGTCCTCATATAGTTTCCAACTTTCTTTCCTTTGAAATAGGAAAAAATAGAAAAGGGAATGGTGTTGTGTATCGTAAATGGTTCCTCCTACGAATCGAACTATCTCCCGTCGTCAAAGAAATTCCCTCTCTTAGAAAATTATCTTTTTTCTTTCTTATGATGAACCAATGGAAGGAGAAGGGGGGGGGGCGAAAGAAAAAAAAAAGAAAAGAAAATATCAATGATCGAGTTCTTCTTACGAGGATATCAATGTACCTACGAGAAACGATTTGGCTCGCGTGTAAAGCGTTATTCGAAAGACAGCGATCGGGTTACGATAGGGATGCTGGGGATAGGAAGGCTCCTCGACTAGCAAGAGAGAGAGAGAGAGAGAGAGAGAGAGAGAGAGAGAGATCGGTTCGTGGTTCGGCTCGTACCTAGATCGGATCGCGGTATTGAGTGGGCGTCGAGTTTGAGGCTCGGCCAGTCGATCTTGGTTTTGCTCTTTAACTGGGATCGCCCCTCTTTCGCTCTCTAAATGAGACTCGATGACCGGGCGAAAATCGAGAACTTGCTCCGAACGACGATACAGAGAAGATATTAGGAATGGAATCGTGATCGTGTGCGAATGGAGAAGCGATTAGTGATACTCGTGTTGCCGGATTTGACCATTGTAACGATAATTATGAAAGTGATGATTTGACTCAAAACTCGTGACAAACTGAACAAATAATATGGAATTTGTTAGATCACTTTCATAATCGATCGGGGCGATATCTTACGTTTGAAAAAAAAAATTTAGTCTTGCTGCTAGTATTAGTTTTAATACGAATGTATACGATATATCGAGATAGTTTTCGATAGAGATCGAAGACAATGACTTTTGTTAGTCATTCACGGTGGTTTTGTTCGGAGCAAGGATCAACGAGGAATAACAAATGGCGCGATAATTCGATTACGAGTCGATCTTGTAAGCGGTAAGCGATCGCGTTTATTCCGCTAGACCATCTCGTATTTCGTGTATCATTTCGTAAGCGAGTACAACTGAGGAGTCTTTGGTCGGCTCGACCGCCACGACCGCTACGACGAACGATACGACGCCGTCTGCATAACAAGCCGGTAATGTAGCGCCAAACGGAATGTATCCTCCCTTTCCCCCGTTCCCTCCTCCCTTTAATTCCAATCATCCGTCTAATTTCGTCGCGTCTCCCAGCGATATCCCGAATTTCCGCGATCCACAATGCCTCTCCTTCTTCATACTTTTTATTCCGTTCCCTTTTTTTCTTTTTTTTTTTTGCTTTAATTTTCCTCGCAATTTCCGTGGGAATTGCAAGATACGAGAACACGCAGCTAAAAACGATTAGACGATTGGACAGGGAGAATCGTAATTTTCAACGTACGTACCCCCGCCGAGCGGAAACGCTGTTATCGCGAGAAGACGATGATTATTCGTCCTAATGAATTAATTATTGAGGGGCTCGATTACGATATTCGAAAGGGCGAGCACCAATGTCGACGTGGTTAAAGATGCGGAAAGGAGGCGGCGACGAAAGGAAAGCTTTTCGAGGGAGAATGCTTTCTATCCTTCTCGATTCGCGTCTATTATTCATGTATGAGAGCAAAGCGTGCTTCTGCGTCGCGGTAATATCGTCGTCGTACTACGAGACATTTAATTTTCGGTTTGGTGCGTCACACGAAGGGCGCGTCAAGGGTGAGTTTCAACGATTTACTCGTCGCCGCCGTCGTCCCTCCTACGGGATCGTCGTCCCTACGGGATCCTCGTGCTACTCGTTTCGAAAAAGTTAGGTTAATTCGAACAGCGGCCTGACGAGGAGATCGGTTGCTGCTCCGTCCCTCGAGAAGATTAGGTTAAGATTTGAAAAGTAAATTTTCGAGCCGATGCCACTCTCGAAATCTCTCGTCTCTCCTTCGATCTCCAGAAAAAATTCCGCTTCGGATGGGCCGCATCGCGACGGAGGTGGGTGTGACTCTCTACCGTTGATCCTATCGTACGCGTTTGTTTAAATAATCGGGCGTTTCGGAACCTTCGAGCGTATCATCGTGTCGGCATCAGGCTAACCAATATGTATGATAATTTCGACATGCCTTCACCTCATAATGGAGCCCAAGTACGTAAGCTATACGTGCCCTTGGACTTTCCTCGCTTCTCCTCTCCTCTTCCATCCTCTCCTCTTCTTTTTCCTCTTTTCATTTCTTCTCTCCTCTTTGACTCGATCGTTCCTCGACTGCACCCACCCTCGCCGCTACCAACCACGAACGTTTCTCCTCTTTCGGTCGTCGTAACGAGGCTAATAGCGTTAATACGCGTTAATATGAACATTATGACGATAGAGCATAAATAATAAAACGATTGTGTTATTACTTACGGGATCTCGAGAAAAATGCAAAGGACACTATTAACGATAGTAAAATTTGTCAAATTCTTAAATTGCCCGCCGTCATTTGCCGCCATTTTGCGTAGAATTCGTCGGTATCTTAGCGCCACCTATCGATGTATTTACGTATTACGATATTCGAAAAGTAACCAATTAGGAGCCTGCGCGCGAAAAAATGAAAGGCGTCATTATTACAGCGCATATATTATCGCATTTTCAACGCATTATGTTTGGATTTACATACACTTAAATACATTCAATAATTGCATAACGATTAACAACTGTTGCAATACAATTTTTCCCACTTTTACGCCGCACAGACGTCGAAGATCGAAGAAGAGGATCGAAAAGATCGTTCTCGCGAATCAAGTCGAATGCGTTCACGCGCATAATGATATACGATAAAGTATAATATACACAGAAATAATTACATAGATACAGTTAGGCATAGATCGGTTTCGGTGTTTCTTTTTCTTTTCTTTTTTATATACACAGTTGTCCTGTCAGAACGATCGCACGCATCTGATAGCGCGCGATGATTATTATTATTATTATTATTATTATTATTATTATTATCATTATAATTATAATTATTATTATTATTATTATTATTATTATTATTATTATTATTATTATTATTATTATTATAAAGGCTCTCTCAAAACGAATCGATTGTTTTATTCTTTAACGTAGTTGGAGAAAATACAATCTCTGTTACGCTATTACAAACACGAGTATCGATCGTCTACACGCCTGCATGAAACGAATACTACTCGCTACTCGCATTAGATCCTCGTAGATGAGAGCTTTAAGGTTTCCTCGAAGAAAGAGACGGCTTGATTAAGTCGAGCAATCACGATCAATCGAGTAACAACGATATTTCTTAGTTTGCGATCGGTCCTTTATCAACCACGAAATACTTTAATCGTTTCTAATTACTTACATACCTATCGCGTCGATTACAAATGCGTTCGACGAATGATCGATCAAAGGAGAAATACTTTTTCGGGCTGCGAAAGTGAATGTTTTATCGCCCCTTTTTTTTTTCTTTGCACATACGAAGCCTTAATCTCATTGTCGATACGATCGAAGTTCGGTATCATCTTTTCAAAATTATTATTTCCTTTTACCGACACGACGACAATTCGCAACAAAAACGACTATAGCAAGAATACAATTCATAGTATAATTACTTAGCGTTTGACAAACTTTATCCATATTACTGTTATTTCTTCTTCTTCTTCTTCTTCCTCTTATTATTATTATTATTATTATTATTATTATTATTATTATTATTATTATAAATAAATTACACGCACGTACTATTTGTCGAAGGAATCTTTCAGAGTCGAGCATACTTTGTGCAATATCGATTATTGATTGTAAAAAAGACAACGATAATAACGGCCATCTGAGAGACAAGGAAGCACGTTGCTATCGTTGCTATTGACAGAAATTATTATTCTATTACTATCGGACAGATACATACATCATCTACATACGTAGAACGTGCGTGTCTTTAGATTTACTTGTTTTGGCGCACAAAGAGTGCAAACAATTCGCACGAGACGATAACAATAATAAATTACACTATGTAAATATATATATAATTTTTGCCATACTCTATACACAAATATGCGGTGTGTTTTATTATGAATGGAGGGGAAAAAAAGAAAAAAAAGGAAAAAAAAAAATTTGCACGTTGAAAGAAAACGAGAAAGAAACGATAGCCGTATTTTTCTAAACATGCATACAACAACAACAACAACAACAACAACAAACGAACACTACTTCTCTTTCCTAAAGTCTTAGTACAATAAAATCAAATTGATTGTGTACATGTAATAAGTGATCATAAAGAAAGCGTTTTCTTATGAAATACTTTTCAATGATTTTTCAACTACTCTTGTCTGATCACTTTTTTATACCAAGGAATGCACGATCGAACAGTTTACATCTGTCAAAATTCAATAAAGAATATAACAAACAGTTTGGAAAAATAACATACAGTCTATTACTTTCGTACAGCATCGAATAAAACGTGTAAGAGCCGCAAAAATCAAATAATAAACTAGAAGCGACTTATTAGAAGCTAAAGGCTTTGATCTACAACTTCATATAAATCGGTAATACAACTTCCTTATATCTCGGCACTGGTGTATATACAAACCCTTGGCGGTAGTTTTTGGTATGCATTATATATATACACGTGTAAACGATATTACCGTTTTCAATTTGTTTCTGATCTGAGGATATACGACGAGTATATAGGCGCTTCGGTATTAAAGGACGCTCCCAATCGTCTGTATGCTACACGTCCACTGTTATTCTGACATTGTAAATGATCGAATTTTGATCTACATAAGAGACTACGTGTGTGATGTAAAGAAACGTACGATTACGCTACTATTGATAAAATAAACTATACTTTTATAAAGCGTATTTAGTTTTTTTCGAAGGTGGGTTATTTTCTCTATTCCTTCAAAAAGCCCAAAAGTCTGGCCGTTTGTACATACACATATACGATTCATCGAATAGAGCACCAAATTAAGATCGAGCGGAAATATTAACGGAAAAAGACGACAATACCTTGAATAAGTTTTAAAGGAACAAAAACGTCGATATCTTACATTGCATTTTCAAGAAATCTATCGCGATAACGCATCCTGCTGTTATGAGATAAACATTTCTCACGTATATCGTATCGTTCGTTAAATCTGAATAATAGTTAGATCTATTAAGTACCAACAAGCGCACTTACGACCGCGGTGGCACTCTTCTTAATCTCTCTGTTTCTACAGATCGTTGATCAAACTCCATGTTATGTTTGTCCGACGACGACGACGACAACGATTAAATGTAGAATAATTCTTCTAAATTTAGTTTTAAACGTTGAAACGAGTCTCGGAACCATCGGCTAACATCAACGTGACCGTACGATTGTTTATCCATACGAGTCGAGCTAAACGCATAGGATTCAATCGCGTTACGTCGTTGATGGGCGCAGTACTGTATGATTTAACGCATCGAATTTGTGAATTACCCAGACCGAACATACCACTACTTGTTTGCTAAAAAAAATAAATAAAAAACATTTTCTTTTTAATATTTCTGCTTATTTCTAGGCTTATTGATAGAATATATATTATAACTATCTCAAAAAATATAACATATATATATATGTTATTTACTTACTTGCCAGAAGCAAAGCTTATTTTCAGAACACGAATAGCTAACTAAAAATTTGCCCTCCGGTGAAAATGCTAATGCGGTTACAGGACCTTGATGCGCGGGTACCGTTTGACATTTGACGTTACCTCGAAGTTCGTAAAGCGCCAATTGTCCACCCCTGCCGCCTACAGCTATCCTGCGTGTTGCTGTACAATGACTGACCTGAAATGTACGAGATTAGATTTAATAAACGAATATTCCTTCCTAAATTCTTCCTAAATTCAGGAACTTATACAAACTTGATTGAATCTGCAAACAGCAGGGAATACTTCGGACAATGGTTTCGCTTTCAAGTGACCAGGATCTAAACAATGTAATATTATATCCATGACCTGAAAATACATGAAATTTAATATCTACAGAAGATTACTGCGATCGACGTTAGATATTAAAAATAAAATGAATGCGATCATACTTCGACCAAAAGATCGCTCATTTCACTTTGCATTTTGTCAATTAATTGTTCTACTATTCTGAGTATCTCGGGCTTAGCCCTAGTCAACACGCTTGCTCCTACATTGACGTTCAAAGTTTGTGCATTTTGCTGCACCGTGTTAAATCTGGCTACTTCTCGTGCCATCGTCGTAATGAACGCTGCCGGTCTAGCAGTAGCTATTAAGGTTAAAGCATGACGTGCCGTACGACATGTATCAGCTTGAGGAGTGAGCGGAAGACCGTAGGTCATACTTGGTACCAACTTATCTGCATCGCAACACATCTCAAGAAGCCCTAAAAGTACCTATTAGAATAAAATATTGATAGACAATGGCAATTAAATTATAATGCCTTAATATAAATATAAAATAAAGGAAGAAGTATCTTTTATTTTAAAACCTGATCTCACCTTGGATACATCCAAATATGGTTCCCACACAGTAAAACCTCTACCAATGAGGTCAATTGCAGCCCTTCGTAATGGTGTATGCAAAGGTAATTTAGGAGAATGCGGCGCGTGTAACAGATGCGTCAAAGCCATACTGGTGTGTCTAGCGAGATTGTTATTTCCAATGCCAAAACCTTCCACGATCGAACTTTTCCGCCTTTGTTCGCTATCTCTTCTTTGGTTAGTCGTAGTAACATCTTGACCAAATTCAGCACCAATTACGCCCAATAATACCACCGCAGTAGTCTGTTTACGTTTCAGTTCCGCTACGCTCGATGGCTTCCTAGCTACACTTACTTCTGAAATTATTGAAATATTAATAATACCGGATTAGAAAGAAAAATAATAAATTCATGAATATTCATAAATCACCTTCGGCCAGTTCTTCTTCTTCATCCTCATCATCGCCTTGCGTCTCGTTCATTGGAACCGGGCTACCTGACGTAGGTGGAGTTTGGTTTTGAATTTGTGGTGCAATAGGTTCCTGAGTACTATACATTGGCAAATATTGTGACCAACTGTCGACGAGAGCTTTTCTACCTTTTGGACCCATTCTGCCTAATTCGGCCAGTAATAAAGCTTGAGCCGCTTCTCGTATCTGAAAATACGAAATTTAAAATGAATTATTCAAAAAGTCATCCAGCAAACGAAATCGATATACGACGAACCTCTAAACATTGATGTTGCCATCTGCGTGCCATCATTTCTACTTGCGGCCGTTTAAACGTTTTTGCTCCACCTTGTGCGGTTACCTTGTCCGGTAAAAGTACACAATGTAAAGTAGCTAAAAGAGACCAACCCTGTTTGATTTGTGCCTGCTGGACAGTATAAATTTCTTCATTTTCCTCTTCCGCTTTATTCCAATTGACGGCTGCTCTATTACCGGGTCTACACAAAGTAAAAAGTATAATTCATTTTCTTGATATTACTTTCTTTCTTATATTTTGATTAATCTAATTTTACCTGTGCATTTTTCGATTTCGTTCCTGTTCAGGTACGAAGGTTGCATTATTCATGGACATTAAAGTATTGGCTAATGCTACTACAGCCAATAAATGGTTACTTGTTATAGTTGTTGATAATTCCCAATGGGCTCTTGCGGTAAAGGCTCTAGTAAGTCTCTCTTGCCTTACTAATTCAACAGGTAATCTTTGTTCCAATTGCGTTGCAGGTTCACCGGCAGGTTCCAATTGAGTTTGCCAAGTTGGAAGTAATAATGACATATATCCTGCAAAAAGAAAAAAAAAATAAAGATATTATTCAATTAAGATAACACATATTTCTATTTATATAATTTATAACGTAATACTTTCATACCTCCCTTAGATAACACCCCAAACGAAACTGGTACCATAGGTCTTAACAATCCTAATTTTCCTTCACAAACTCGATCTAAGTCTGGATCCATTCCCCATGCATGTAAAAGACTTAGAAGTAACTGAGCAACTTCCATCGTTGCGTTTGGCTCACTAAACGCACCGTTCCTTTTGAGATTGTTTTTCGCGATATCATTACTGTTCCAGTTGTCACCTATGAAACACATAAGAGAATCTATTATAAATTACAATTTCAGTATTACTCTAGAAAATTTACAAAAATGTGCGTCGACGCGATGAATGCGTGCTACGTTAAGTGATCGCCTATACCGTGTCAATTTAAGGCATATCAATTTTCACTGTAAAAAAAAAATATCACCACTTTAGAGATTAAAAAAAGACATGAAGAAATATTCTCAATATCTTTCAATGCTGGAAAGCAAAAAATAAATTCTTGATAAATGTAATATAACATGAATATAAGAAAAAAAATACAATTGAGAAGCTATGATAATGCACTTGTAGTGTACAACAATTCGTATGTTGCTTGCCTCTTTATACGTATATAAGTGATTAGTTCAAACTATACACATACACAAATGGCTATGAACTGATAAAAGTATAATTAAATAATATTAATGTGTTTTCATTTGTAATAAGCAAATAGTAAGAAGCTCTAACTGTGACGACAACTATTACACATGTAAAGTAAGTAATCTGCATTCTATATTGTCATTTTCCATATAATTTATTAACTTACCATGAGATCTGGTAATAATTGAAAAATGCGTGCATAAAATATAAATAATATTTCACACGTGCTAGCTAGAAAATTAGCGAGTACACTCGATATATCATCCTATATTTTATAAGTGGAAACAAGAAATGCGTTGTCACTACATACAAAAAATATAGAAAGCAAATTGTCAATTCTAAAGGCGGAAATACCCATGCACAATAACATGAGTGACATAAGCCACCTTGTTCTTCTTTTGGCTAACCTTTGCCGTCAAGAGTGGACGGCTTGAGGCCTACACTTTCTGCCTTAGCTTGTAATTTAGTGTGCACATTCTCTGCCCCTTCCTTCATCTTAGCCAATATACCTATAGAAATAAACTCCTTTAGATGTATTATCTTCGAAGATATGATCGAAGGAACCTCCTACTTTGGATTATCTATTTAACTACGATGATGATTGTATCTGATCTTACGTTTCGTCTATCATAAACACCCTTCAACAAAGTATTTATGGAAACTAAAAACACGCTTGAATAAGTTCGAAGAACTGCATAAGTATTTTGGTATAGATTAGCGTTATTAGGTGAAATAAAATGAAGTCTAGAATATTCATGAAGTCATTCATACAACATGCAACTCTCGAGCGATTATGTGCATTGCACAATTTCTCCTAGAATCTTATTAGAGGGACAAAAAAAAAAAAAGAAAAAAAGAAAAGTACTGAGAATTACAGCATATTAACAGCTGTCCCAGATACTGATTATTATCGATGACATTGTTCTTTTGCACACTTCCGATGTGAGAACAGTCGTTTGAATGTGCATCAAAATAAGGATGTTTCATAATGAATAAACAAAACTACGAGTTGAAAGACAAAAAACAATATTAAGGACGATACCGTGACGGTCCTTCTCCTTTAAAATTCGTTCAACGTCACCTGCCTTATCCTTGACACGACCGAAAAAATCTACAAAGACATACACCAAGTGAAATACCTCCATTTATTTAAGGATCAAGAATAATTGAAAGATTTATATATCCACATAATGATTTAATTTTCATAATGATTTAATAAATAAATACCTGCAATTTTTTTATGAGCGTCTGGACTTGCAGATTGAGTGAGGGCAGCAACCTTTTGATATTCGGATGCTGAAATTAATCCTTGAGATTCTAACGATCCTGGCGACATAGTGCCATACTCGTCGCTCAATAATTGCACTAAATAAATAACCATGCATTAATATTAGAAGCAAATCATTCGTTGAATTATATACGACACACATCGGAAACATACCTATTAATGCTTCAATATCAAAAAATAATATATGACTTTCAGGGTCCTTAGGATTGCTTCTAAAACCTTGTATCATCAACGGTGATCCCTTAGCTTTTATTTGGTTCCCATGATCTGTACCGTGCCCACCATGAAGTTGCTGCAATTGATGCAAACCTCTTTGCGTTGCATGCCTAATTGCCGATAGATTCCGATGTCTTAAACCTCTGCAGAAATTATATAACGTTAATCATAATACATAAAATTACTCTGCAAATGTTCTAATGCTAAATTCACATGAGGTTCTCACCATCCGTGCTGCAAGATTTCATTTACCTAAAGAAATGTACAGCTGGATTAGCTAATCCAAGTTCACCACTAGCGGCAGTTCCACCAGCCGCTGTCATAGTATTCTCGTCGCACGCGAATAGTACCTCCTCGGCGATTATACCTACAATGCGAAAAACGCTTTATATATTTTATATTAAATATATTACAGGATGACAAAGTGAGAAGAATAATCTATAAAATATATAATCCTCAATGTATTTTCAAAAGGTTTAGTTATCCATAGTTGGTATAATACTTAAATCTATTTAAAATTAAATTAATAAATGATGTTGTTTACCATGCAACACTCTGTCTAAGTGACCAGTTTCCATTTGCCACACGTACACGGCACCATCCGAACATCCAACTATCATAAAATCGTCCAAAGGTCTCCACTTTATAGTAACTACAGGGAAAAGATGTCGAGAAGCCAAAACAACACATTTTCTTTCCGCCAATGATAATAAAGTCACGCTATGATCGGATGCCACGCTGCAAATACATTTCTGTATTCTAGGCTGCAATAAATTATGAATAATAATTATGAAAAATATTAGGAGATAAAAGATTTAATTATATAAATGACGGAAGAACTTAACATACGCTACAATTATCCGGAGGAACCATCAATTGTGTAATTTCACCGGCATGAACACAAAATCGATGAATCAATGTACCGGCATACAAGTCCCAAAGACAAACGGCAAAATCTACGGAACCAGAAACAAGATGTGCACGATCGTAACGTGGTGCTGCTCCATGCGGATACAAAAGACAATTTACTCGTCCTGAATGACCTAATAATACCTGATGTGGTGGCCAATCTGTAGAATATTTAAAAAAATTCATTAAACAAGAACATACATATTTATAAAAAGTACACATAAAGAAAATACAGATATTTTACCATCATATTGCTGATGATTGCCATGAAGCAATTGTAGCATCACTGTCTGTGTGGCTGGTACAATAATAATACTACCGTCCTCACGGCCAACAACTAAACGACTTTGCTGTGGTAAGTATATACTGGCAGTCAACTTAATACCATTCTTATCTCCGGAATCCAATTGATCCAGGATACCAACAGGTGGTGGTTTCATTGCTTCCCAAGCAGCTGTTAAACTTGTTGTAACTGTGGGCGATAATGTAGGTGTTGAGGAACCATCATTCTGACATATCTGTACCAATTGTTGTGCTGTTAATTCAGGTACTTTCCAAAGTACAACGACTCCTTCGCTATCACCACGGAGTAAATACTTTAATGTTTTATTCTGTCTTTGAACTGTAACTAGTCTCATTGCAGGTGGGCAAGACAGTGGCTAATGCAAAAATAAAACGTACACATGAATTAAAAATAATAAGATGCGAAACGTGATTAACAATTTAATAAATAATTCAATTATTTCCTTACCTTATCTCCTGGTTGAGTCAGAATACAATAAAGATAAGGTTGATCATACTCTGTCCCAGCTGTATGAAAACTTTTGTTATCTGCAACGCTACTGAGATCATAAAATACAAAATAAAAATTACAAACATATTTTACATACACATTACTTATGACCATTTTTATTATATTCAGATAAAAACATTAATAAGTATCCCCATAAGTAATGTTTTATTATTGTTAAACATTAAAAAAATTAAATATACTCTTTATAACATTGCTTTTCACATGTACATTCTTTTATCATATTTTATATCTCATAAACAAGTGTGCATTAGTGGTTCATGCAAAGCAGTTTCAAGCAAATTAAACATAGTAATACAGTGAATGAAATATTGCAAGAAAAGTGGGTAGTTATTTTATACGGTAAGTCTATAAAAAATATTTACTTAATCGATGATTAACAAAAATTACACGAGTTAATATGTAAAACAACTAAATATGATAAACCTATAATGCTGCTTGTAATACAAGTAGAATAAAATAATAGGCAATATGGCCAAATACAATTATATTTTAATTATAAAACAATATATATATATATATTTATTTATTTATTTATTTATTTATATTACTTCCAATTGATCATACTTCATCAATGAATAATGATGAAATGGAAGATGCACAATGTGATAAAAGCAATAATTTGAGCCTTTAAGCAGCAAAAGGTTTGAAAGAAGAAAAGACATAAAGGAAATTTGAGAGACATAAATAAAAAAAATAAATGAGAAGTAGTAAAAGTAAAGGGGTGAATGTAAGGGAAATTATGATAATAATCATATGAAAAAAGAAAAAATACCAAAAACCAGTAAGATTAAGATAGAATCGAGGTAGGTCTATAATAAAAAAACAGACGTTGTAAAGTGATTTACGGAGGTTACCTGCTGAGAGCCTTGCCCTTCAGCTTGCTAGAAGACCAGACCACCCATGGAGTGCAGTAGATGTATGTTATGTAGAAAAGACACATCACCGTAAAACAGATCATCGTGTTAATTGGCATGTGATGATGTTTGTGACAAGGGAGAATTAAATATAAGAGTATTTATACATAATCAAACAAATCTAATGATGTTCAAGAAAAATGCAATATAGGACTTCCTTGGAAAAAGAAATGGAAAGAGTTGTTCTTTCAGTAAAAGGTAAATGATTATGTGTAAATATATTGGATGACATTGTGAAATAAATAATACTAATTTTTAGTAATGTCTATGTTAAAACAAAAAAAAAAAGATATAATGAGATTATAGTAAATGCATAATAATTAAATTTAATTTTTGGAAATTATTATTTGACATCAAATAATTATGTATCTAATATGCTGTTATGTGTGACAAATGGAAGAAAGAAATTGGGAGAAAAAAATATTGAATTTGTGCATTGCCAGCAGGTGCTTCTACAGAGCAATATCCAGCTCCAATTTAAAAATTAAGGGAAGCTGATTTTTTTAAACAAATTCAAAAGATAAGATTAAGGATTAACATACTAGTACAACTGACAGGCATTCTAATTACTTATATGTGTAATAATGGATATTAGTTTTATCATGTTAAGTACAATATTGTTATACCCTATAAAATATTTTACTATTTTAATTACTCATTAAATTAGATTGCTGGAATAAATTAGAAATTAGAAATTTTTGTATCATCAAAATGTTTACATGATTATGGAGATAGGTAACATCAATAATTTTTATAGGGCTTTTCAAGATCTCAATCTAAGCAATAGAAAAATAAGTAAACTTGTTCTTTGCAAGAACATACTTAGCTGGCAATTTATAAAGATAGCCATGACCCTCATCACTCCATAGAATAACACGATCTGCAGCCAAAAAATCACCAGCCATCCAACGTTCACCCCGAGGCGCTGTTATGGAACATAGGACCGAAAAATCACCCGCATCGAATATCTGTAGAAACATAAGGATTGACGTTATATAATTCAAATTGATAAAAAAAAAAAGAGAAAAAAAAATTAATAATATAACATAATATTATATATATTTATATTTATAATTTAGAATAAAATTACAACCAACCTGCCAATATTTAGAGCATACAATAAGAACTGTACGTTGGTTGTACGGGCAGCAAGTCATCGCAAGAGCATTCAAACATCGTATTTGTTTGCTCTCATGTTCGTAAAGAGGTTCGCTGTTACGATTTTCGTGTCCCAAAAGCGTCCACACCTTGACTGTACCCGTCGTTGTCAGAGCCAACACAACGTCGTCTTTAAATGAATTAAAGCGCCTGTGTTGCGCGTTAACTAAATCTAAATAGGTACTATAGGATTTTAAACAATAAAAATCTTAATAAATTATCCAGTTGATCATAACTTTATACTGGACTTTTTCTTAATAAAATTTAAAAATAAATATTATTAATTGTATAATTAAAAACTTTTCCCATGCATTTCCATGCGTATAATAAATATAGAAAATTTATATTTTACTAGTAAAGTTTTATTTATATCATAGAAATAGAAATAGACTGTACCAATAGCTAAACCCATCATGCTTTTTTATGTATATATACAAAAATAAATCTAAATAATAAAGGCTTGATTGATAAATCAAATCAAGACAATATTAACAAGTCTGTAGGGAACATTTTTTGATAACCCATCTATTTACTTCGTGTGCATTATAATACTGAAAGAGAAAAAGAGCTCCATATTTAATTTAGTATGTTAGTATATTATAAGAAAAAAAAGAAGAGAAAGAAAAAATGAAATATCAACATGCTTATTTAACTTCAAAAAAAAAAAAAAAAAAAAAAAAAAAGAAAAAAAACAACAATCCCTTAAGATTAATAACTATATTTACAAATAAGTTTCATATAAAAAATAAATATTATTAGTATATACTTACGATAGGTACAGTATACCAAATTAGTATAAGGAATTAAGTCAATGCATGTCAGTATAAATGTAATGTATACTATCAATAGACTAAAATGTAGGATGTCATGTTCGATGAGAAGAAGCATGAATAATATGTGTTAATGTAATAGTGCAAGGATTAGTGATATTGACTCATTTTCTACCAATGGCACAAAGTGTAACGCAAAGAGAGAGATAATTTGTGAAAAATATAATATTAAGAAAAATAATTGATGACAGAAGTGATATAGCGTTGAACATCAGTGCTTTAGCACTGGATTGTATCCACTCGCATTTACATGCTGCAACAATGTAATTTATATTAAAATTCCAACTCTATTATATAAATTACCAATACTAAATTATATAATATACGAATTAAAGAAGTCGCGAAGTACCCTTCTTATATTTGGCCATCTTGAAAAATTCTAAATTAAAAGGAATTTTATCATAATCAAATCTATATATTATACCCAAAGCAGAAAACTTTTCTGAATTAATCCCATAATTTAAAATCCAATAATAAACCATAAAATACAGAGAGATAATAGGTTAATATCTCTTTTTTTACCATAATACGAAGATTTGTTATACTGATGTTTCCACATTATAAAACAATATAATAGAATAAAAATATAAAAGATAAATGAAATCAAAAAAGGCTGAACCAGCGGAGAAACATTACAAAATTATACTTATGAGTTACCAAGAAGTATTATGCACAATTTGATAAAAATTAAAAATTTTCAGATGATATAATATAATGAATATTAACATAGCACTATAGACAAATGAAACTAGTATAGAATATCAGCTTCATTTTTCATTATTATATTTTCTTTTGTAAAAATAAATAAATATGTGCATAATACAAATTAACAAAAAATTGGTAGAAGATAAGATAGCATTGTATGGTATAAGCGTAGGTGTGATGAAGTGTAACTAACTTGTATGCACGTAGAACCGACCTTTCCGTTTGGCCGGCCGTAGAACGTGCAAAGCACTAATCCAATCAGGATTCACCCGAGAACTCAGTGTGAACAGCACTTCCAAACTAAATGGATCCATTACTAAAACTTCTGGATAATACCTGTACACATGTGATAAAAAAATATTATAAATTTGTTAGATATTTAAAAAGAAATGAATAGAATTAATTTATTATATACCCAGAACAAAACAATCTAACGTCTTCTCCTCCAGCTGAGACATAAGGCAACATTTGCGTATGAATATTGTTAAGCTTTACTGCTTCGCGACATTTTCCATCAACTAGATCCCAAGTGCACATCTCTCCGCTTTCACTGCTACTAACAATATAATTTTGCTCCATGATAACACTAGCTCGACTTAGGCACATTATTGGAGCGGTATGACCAACGAGTAAACATCTTGGTGTCATCTGAAAAAAAGAAAGAAAAAAATCAAGATAAACAAAATGGAACTTCTTATAGAAAGACAAAATATAATTACCTTTAACGTTTCGGGATCAACTTGCCATAAACATATCTGACCATCGTAACATCCCGTAACTAAAGTTTTTTGGTCTCGTGATAAATAAACGCAAGAAATACAATGAGTTGGTGCTATTCGACCCCATAGTACTATAGGGACTACTAAACTTGTACCTGCTGTCATATTGAAGTTTTATCTGAAAATTAATTTAAAGATCAAGGCAAACTTAAAGAATACTTTATTAAAATAAAAATTACTAGTAATAAAGAATCAGTAAATTTTTAAGCTTTATATCATTAATATTTATTATTGAAAATTTAAAAATAACAAATAAAGTAGGCTACTAGCTGAAATGTCTATAAAAAAGAAAAAACGTCAATCTAGGAACAAACATGATTTACAAGTAGGTATAGGACTATATGATACAAAAAAGATAACTCTCAGATAAATAAATGACAAACTAATAACGTATTTTCATCTGTATCGTAACTCGCATTGACGATATTAATATCTTTAATTTAAAGAAAATAAATTAAATCGAATAAACGTATGGACAAAAATTTTCTGTCATATTACATTGAAACAATAATCGTTTATAATCTTAAAGAATTATTAAAAGCAATTCCAGCGAAGGCGTCTGCTATATTATATTCGCAAGATGTCACTGACAATCCTAATGATCTTGACATGTTTTTCAATATATTTGGAATCTTTTGCATGTATTTATCAAAACGGAATGTGTAAAAATGGAAAAATATTTACCAGAAACACCAATTAACAATGACAACTACTTCAAACGTCAAAATTGGCGTTATATGCCGAAAATTGTTCCTTCCTTACTGTACTTTCACGATCGCGGCCATCTTGATGTGAGGATTGTGTCACTCAAGTGAATCGTACAATCAGCTGTTCTATGTCAAAAGATCCCTAGAGTAATAATGCCAGGATTCAGTTATTTATTAAGAATATCGAATAATATTCAAGTGATATTAAATGACTGTTAATCTTTTCGATTAACTTTTTAATATTTTTTTTCCTAAAGGTTAATTAGATGACACACTAAAATTCCAAGTAAACTTTTAAAAATCGTTCCAATAATTTGGAGCTTGGACATATCTGTAACTAACTTCATGACTATAAAATTCTAACCGTATAATCTGAAGGTAGCCATTAATGTAGTAGCTGTAAATATTAACGCAAGACCATGCAAGATCATATACCGTATATAAAAAAATAAAAGTGAAAGAATTGTACAGATTTATAGTTATTATATTTTGACTCGAAGGTTGATTAATTTTCTATTATATTCTTAAAGACAATTGACTGCTGTTCGCTAATATTCGGTAAGATTATATCTATAAAATACATGCGTAACGTCAAATATAAAAGAAAATATAAAAAAAAAGAAAAAAAATTTTTTAAAGTAATTATTATGAAATAATCCATAATAATTATTATATATGTATATATATATATTTTAATATTAATACAAGTGTAATATTACGTGCGAGTATTATTATTAAATTCAAGAAATCGCAGTGATATTACGGAATATTAAAATGAAGTGTCATTATGAAGTGTTGGGTGTTTCAAGAAATGTCACCGATGATGAACTAAAAAAAGCTTACAGAAAATTAGCACTTAAATGGCATCCAGATAAAAACTTAGATGCTCCAGAAGAAGCTAAAGAACAATTTCAATTAGTTCAACAAGCATGGGAGGTACTAAGTGATTCTCATGAACGTGCATGGTATGATAAGCATAGAGAAGCTATCTTGAAAGGTGGTATGAGAGAAGACTATAAAGATGATTCAATTGATTTATTTCAATATTTTTCAACTAGCTGTTTCCAAGGTTATAATGATGATGAAAAAGGTTTTTATACCGTCTATAGAACAGCTTTTGAGAAATTAACATCAGAGGATGCTGAATTTGCTACAGAAGGTGATTCGGAAGAAGAAGTACCTAATTTTGGAAATTCTCAGAGTTCTTATGAAGATGTCGTTCATCCATTTTATGCCTATTGGCAAAGCTACAGTACAAAAAGATCATTTGCTTGGTTAGATCTCCATGATATTCGACATGCACCTAATAGGAGAATACTTAGACTTATTGAGAAAGAAAATAAAAAAATTCGCGATAAAGCAAAACGAGAAAGAAACGAGCAAGTTAGAAATTTGGTTGCATTTATAAGAAAACGTGATAAAAGAGTTCAAGCACATGCTGCATTGCTTGCCGAACGTGTCAAGGAAAATTTAAGAAAGACAGAAGAGCACAAAAGAATGCAATTATTAGAAAGACAAAAACAGTTAAAAGAACATACCGTATCCGACTGGTCCAGATTTTCAAACGTTGAAGCAGAACTTAAAAATATTGAAGCAAATCTTGCTGCTGAATTTGGAGAAGAGTTATCTTCCGACAAAGATTCGGAAAATGAAAATAACACGGATGATAACACTCTTTATTGCGTTGCCTGCAATAAAATTTTTAAAACCCATAAAGCTTTTGCAAATCATGAGAATTCAAAGAAACATAAAGAAAATATTGGTATTATGAGACAATCTATGATACAGGATGATCAAAATATTCAAGAAAATACAGATGAAAGTGATACAAGCTCGGAGTCAATGTCCACTATAACAACTTCTTATAATACTCCAGGAGACGAAGTAAAGCTGGCAACTGATCCACAATTATCTGATTTTTTATTAAATCCTAATATAAGTAACACTACTAGCTATGATAATGAACATGAGATATCTGAGGGTGAATTAACATCTGACGAAGAAGAAAAATCTCGAACTCCTCCAAATGCTTGGGCAAAAAAATCTAATCCAGAAGATATTATTACTTTGGCCACTGGACCACAATTGTTTGATGAACCAATAATGGTAAAGAAAGAGAATGAAGAGGAAAACATAACTTCTGAGGATGAATTAATGTCGGATCAAGATGAAGAAGAAATCATGGTACAGACTAAGCAAAAGAAAAAGAAAAAAAAGAGAAGGAATATACAAAATCTAGAACATGATAGCGATGAGGAGGACAATAGCATGGATGAACACATATGGCTGTCAAAAAAGCAACGTAAAAAGCAACAACAGAGAAAAGTTGCTTTAAGTAGAATTGCTATGAATAATAAAGAATTACCTAAGATAATATGTCCAGAAACAGAAGGACAAAATTGCAGTGGTGAAACCAATGAGTCTGATTTACAAAATCTTGAAAATAAAAAGACACAAATGACTTTTGAAAGTACTGATAATGTGATAAAACAAGCACAAATTTCCTGCGAAAAAAATAAAAATAATAAAACAAAGGACGTAAAAAAAATATGCAATAAAATAGAAAATGACAACAAATGTAAAAATAAGAAAGATAGAATAGTTGATGTTCAGGATTTAGCACATTTTTGTGTTTCCTGCAGGGCTGAATTTCCTAGTAAAAACAAGTTATTTGAACATTTAAAGAAAACAGGACATTCGGTATATATACCAGATGCACTGAAAAATAAGAAAAATCAAGAACATGTTTCTAAATCAAAAAGAAACTCGGACAAAAGAAATCATTAAGCTTATAGTTGTTGTTATATATAGTAAATTAATAAATTGTAGGAGAATTTATTGTATTAAGTCATAAAAATATAAACCTTATTAGAAATAAAAATAAATTCATTGCCCATAGATATACTCCTTCTTTTTTATATTTCATTATCCTGTATAAAGTTCTTGAATTTTTCAGATTGTTATATATCTCTGATATATATTTACACCAATGTAATAATCAGCTATGAACATAATTCATTGTGCTGCCAGTCACAGGTGAGGAACACCCTTATTTCAGAAAATGTTTATTTTTTTACTCTATTATAAGTCACAACTATTAAATGATAGTAGAACTACAAACGTTATTTTGTGAAAAAGTAGGTCCACAAGTATGGCTGCTAAAAAACTGATATATCCAGCGGCAGAACGTAATAAGGATCCTATTTTATCAGTTTTACAACGATACATACAACGTGGTGCAACTCAGAAGTTTCTGGAGATATCCTCGGGTTCGGGACAACACATTGCTCATTTCGCTCCTCATTTTCCACAAATTACATTTTATCCTTCAGAATATGAAACACGATTATTAGAAAGTATTGCCGCACATGCTAATGGATTTTCTAATATAAAAAACCCTTTAAAAATAGATATTACTACCGATTATCAAACCTGGGCAAATGGTATTTTTTTGGAAAAAAGTATAGATTACATATATAATGCTAATATGATGCACTGTGCACCATATCAATGCTCAATCGGTTTATTTAAAAATGCTGGCAAATTATTAAAATCTAATGGTATTCTATTTACATACGGCCCTTATGCTATTGATGGGACTATCACACCAGAAAGTAATGTACAATTTGATAGATCTTTAAAATCAATGAATTCTGATTGGGGCCTCAGAGAATTGAGAGAATTAGAAAACTTAGCAGAAGAAAATAATGTTAAGCTTGTAGAAATCTTTAATATGCCTTCTAATAATAAAGTTATTATTTGGAAAAAAAATTAGATATTATTTGACGAAACATTAGTTAATAATATAATACCATGGAAATATAAAAAATATTTCTAAACACAAATTTTAACGACATTTGTACTATCTAGAGATCTATATATCTATTTGAACGTATAGCTGCACTGTATTTAATTCAAATAATTATATCTAAAATTGTAGAAAAAATATATATTTTATAAAAAGGAAAAAGAAAAAAAAACTTCTATAAATCTTAAAACTTAATATCCTCATTTTTCATAAAGAAATCAACATTTTCTAATCCTTCTGGTAAATAATTTAATCCAGATTCGTCTTTATGCAACATATTATATCCTTTACCATATCCTGTAAGGAAAAAATAATGGTATATGGTAAACGACAAAGAAAAATAATTTTACAAATAAAATGAAGGAAAAATTTGAATTACCAAGATTCTTAAGAGTTTTCGTTTGACCATTTCTTAAATGTAACGGTACTCCTGGTTGAGGCCCTTTATGATTTGCTACTATGCTTTGAGCTGCTCTAAGTGCATCTTCCATCAATCTAGACTTTGGAGCACGAGCTAAATAAATTGTACATTGTGCCAAAAGAACATCACATTCTGGCATACCTATCATTTTACAACCATTCATGGTATTTACAGCGATACCTACAATAAATATCAATACCTTACGTAATGTAAAATTCGTATATACATTTGCTTTCTTTTTTATTCATTTACTAATATCTTCTTACTCAAAGCTTTTGGATCCTCTAAGCCAACATCTTCACATGCCATTCTAACTAATCTTCTTGCTATATAAACTGGATCCTCACCACCCGCGATCATTCTAGTTAACCAATAAAGAGAAGCATTTTCATCGCTTGCTCTTACCGATTTATGCAAAGCTGAAATCATATCATAATGTTGATCTCCTTTTTTGTCATATAACATATGTGTTTTCCTTAGATTTTCTTTAATATCATTTAATGTTATCAGTACAGGATCAGTTTCTAAAAATTCTTCTTTGCTTGGCATTTTAGATAGCACAGCAAGTTCTAAACCACCTAAAGCTATTCTAGCATCACCATCGCATGTTTCTGCTAACCACTGTATGGTAGCTTCATCTACAATGAATCTTGGAATCGACGATGTACCAGATCCACATGATTCTGAAATAATTCCACTTGATAAATTGGTCATAGATTTTGATTCGGATGAAATTTGTATTATGCCACCTAACGAAGATAATGCACATTTTAATATAGACACTAAATTAGAAGTAGACAATTTTTCCAAAAGAACTACTCTACAACGGCTTAACAATGCAGAGTTTAAATTGTATGAAGGATTTTCAGTTGTAGCTCCAATAAGAGTAATAGTTCCTGATTCTACGTGAGGAAGAAAAACATCTTGCTGAGTTTTATTGAAGCGATGTATTTCATCCATAAATACTACAGTACGTCGACCAAATTTCAATTCATTAGCAGCAATATTAATCACTTCTTTCAAATCATTAACTCCTGCCATAGCAGCGGAGAGCTTTACATATCGCATCTTATTGGTTGTATTATTTTTACATATGTGTGCTATGACATTTGCCAAAGAGGTCTACAAAAGATCAATTTATATACTTTGTGCAATACAATATATTGCATTAATTTACCTTGCCACATCCAGGTGGTCCCCATAAAATCATATTAGGTATTTCTCCCTTATGTAATAATTGAAACAAAGCACATCGAGGTCCAAGAATGTGCTCCTGTCCAACATATCCTGAGAAACTGGAGGGTCTCATTCTTTCGGCAAGAGGTATGCGTTCATTAATTCGAGATTTTTTAGCTGGATTATTTATCTATAAATTACATTTGATGATTATAATAATAGTTTAGTTGGCCTTACAACCATATAATTATGTATTAAATTATTATAATTTATTACAGTTTCTTTGGTCTCCAAATCTTGCTGGGTAGAATCGCCCTTTGTAATTAAAAATGTTTGTCCTGAACTAATTTTTCTTTTCGTAATCTTGTTATCGGGCTTCTTCATGGGAAAACTTTTGGATTTAAGTGATTTACTTCCTGGACTTTGACTAGGCTCTTTTGAAATACCCGCGGTATTTGAGTCGATCAAAAATAAACATTTTGTAACATGAGACTGAATTAACGACGATGGAAAATCGATTTGACATATAGGACACGAAACTTGCTCGTTGATATTCATGTTGAAGTCTGTAAATGAAGGAAAAGAATTACATACGAAATATTTTCTTTTTATTTATATAATTCGCAATATCTTTAAATCTTTATTGCGTTCTTTTGAACTTTCCTTCGACTTGCCGATATTTTCAACATACCAAAGTTTCGAACGATCTTATGTTCTTTCAATTTTCTACGAGAAGTCGGTGGAAGGCAAAAGAAAGCAAAAAAGAATAATAATAAATGATGTTCTTACGAAATTAAAGTAAAGATTTTTGGTTAAAAGTACCGTTATTTTATATAGCGTTGCATTAACCTAAGCCAATCGCTTGAGGGTATAAAAGAGGACGTTCCTTCTAGCCAAAGGCTACATATTCGTTCCCATAGTTCATGCAGTTTCACAATCACCGAGTAGAAAATATATAGCGCCTTTTACGTTTTATTGGTGTATTTCTTGATACGATATCGATAAGATCTTTTATAAGAAAACGAAGAAGAAAGAAAAAAAAATCAAGAAAATAATACGACTACGAATTTGGCATCAATCGATTTATGCACATTAATCGCTGACGTGGATGGCAGCCGTTAGAAGAATAACGTTCTCTATATAGTAGAAAGAGAACCGATCGCAAGTATTTACTTGTTATTCTTAAATAATTGCATCTCTTGGAATATATTCTATCGCTTATCCTCGCGATGGAGGTACGTCGCAGACGAGCAAAAACAAATGATAATAAACGATTATTGCGACAAAGCGCGAAGTTTGATTGCGATGAAATCGCTACCGGCGACTATGTTACAAGTAGAATCCAAAGGGAGGAGGTAATGCAATAGAATTTTTTTTCTTCCTCTTTCACTTTCTTTTTACACTTTTCGAGCCTTTCCTTTCATCCAAATGATATTAATATGAATACATAAACATAATATCAAGACGTTTATAAGTTACATTCATAGATAGACACTGGACTAATTTATTACGCTTCAATATAGGGTGGTCAGGAAATTTTATTGCAAAAAACAAATGAAAAATATTTGTTAGAAGAAGAACCTAAGGTAGTACATGAGGAAAAACGAGCTAGAATAAAGATATATTTGGAAATTGATCTAATAGCTGTTATTTTATTGATTGCTGGTCTGATAACACGTCTTTATAGATTGGAAGAACCGAGAAGTATAGTGTTAGTTATTCAATATTTTTAACAATGATTTTCTAGAATAATTCGACTAATGTCAATGACATTCTATAGGTTTGATGAACTACATTATGGCAAATATGTGGGCTTATATATGAAACGAACGTTCTTTTTTGATTCGCATCCACCATTGGGAAAGCAACTTATTTCTATTGCTGCATATATAGCAGGTTTCGATGGACAATTCAAGTTTGATAGAATAGGAAGTCCATATGCCGATACAGTTCCTCTTTTTGCATTGCGTTTATTTCCTGCCCTATGTGGTAGTCTAATAATACCAACTGCTTATCATCTTGCCCTTGAATTAGGTCTGAAACAATGGACTGCTATGATTGCAGGAATACTTTTATTGTTCGGTAATTATACTAATGTACGACAAAGATTTAGTCTTTACAAGATGATAAATGTTGTTACATGTATATTTCAGATAATGCTCTTCTTACACAATCACGATTCATTTTAATGGAAAGTATGTTAATTCAATTTTCATTGTTTGGATTATTATGTATAATAAAGTTTAGAAAGGTCATGGATCAACCGACAAGTTTTTCATGGTGGTTATGGTTGTCTCTAGGAATTGCAAGTTTAACATGTGCTGTATGGTATGTACTTTTTATATCGTTTTTTTCTTCTTTTTAATTCCTCTGCATATAAAATTTATTTTATATGATGTATTTTTCTTTCAGCGTGAAATATGTTGGATTCTATTCATTGATCCTTGCCATTTACCTCATCACTAGAGATTATTGGTCTTTGATACCTAGAAAAACTTTATCTACAATAAGATTATTTGGTCATCTGTTATTGAGAATTGTTCTAATAATTGTTGTTATGAGTTCTATATATTTAGGTGTCTTCTATATACATTTGGAAACACTTTCTAAAGCTGGTCCGCATGATGCAGTAATGACCAGTGCATTCCAGGCAAGTTTAGAAGGCGGCCTTGCAAGTATTACTAAGGGACAACCATTAGAAGTTACACATGGTTCACAAATCACGTTGAGGCATACTTATGGAAGAGCATGCTGGCTTCATAGTCATAGTCATATGTATCCATTAAGATATCCAGATGGTAGAGGAAGTTCACATCAACAACAAGTTACTTGTTATTCATTTAAAGATGTTAATAATTGGTGGATAGTAAAAAGGCCAGATAGAAATGATTTGGTTGTTACAAAACCTAGTGAGCCAATAAAACACGGGGATGTAATACAATTGGTTCATGGTATTACTAGTCGAGCATTAAACTCTCATGATGTTGCAGCACCTATGACACCTCAAAGCCAAGAAGTGTCTTGTTATATTGACTACAATGTATCCATGCCTGCCCAAAATCTTTGGAGAGTAGAAATAACAAATAAAGATCAGTCGGGTAATATATGGCATGCTATTCAAAGCCAAGTACGTCTGATACACGTAAATACTGAATATGCATTAAAATTTAGCGGTAGACAGTTACCTGATTGGGGTTTCAATCAATATGAAATTGTAGCAGATAGATTGGTAGATCAATCGAATTCTATTTGGAATGTCGAAGAACATAGATATACTAAAAATGAAGATCAAAAGCAAAGAGAAAGAGAACTTATTAATGCAGAAATGATACCATTGCGTGCAACTACATTAAGTTTTTGGGAAAAGTTCGTGGAATTGCAAATAAAAATGTTATTTGGCGGTCAAGAGGGACAAAATAGTCATATGTATTCAAGTGGACCATTAGAATGGCCACTTATGTCCAGAGGCATAGCATATTGGGTTTCTAATGACAGCAATGTAAGTTAAAAGAAATCCATAAAAAATAAATTGTATTAATTATTTAGTTTATGCATATAAAGTTTCTCTCTTATTTACAGGCACAAATCCATCTTTTAGGAAATATAGCAATATGGTATTCTGGTACAGCAGCTTTAATAGTATATACTGTTCTTTTAATATTTTATATGATGAGAAGAAGAAGAATGTGTTTTGATATTATTAATGGAGAATGGAACAGATTTCTTAATGCTGGTGGCATATTACTATCTGGCTATTTTTTACATTTTTTACCATTTGTATTTGTAGAACGAAATTTATTTCTACATCATTATTTACCAGCATTTGTTTTTAAGGTCCTTTTAACAGCAGCAATGATAGATCATATTTATTATTTAATAAGGTAATTTCATTATTTAAACAAAATAAAATAAATAAGATTTTTTAATGAAAAACATTGACAAATAATGCATATTTACTTTTCATTTCAGAAGACGGCATACTAATAATACGATTTTATACGCAGTAACATTTAGTACTATTACATGGCTAATTTTTATTATTTATGTATTTCGAAAATTTGGTGCACTAAGTTATGGGACAATACCCCTTAGTACCAAGGATATATTGAAATTAAAATGGAAAGACACATGGGATTTTATCATACACAAATCTTAATAATTATAATTTGACGTTATAAAAATTTTTAATATATATATACATATATATATATATATATATATATATATATATATATATATATATATATGTATATATATATATATAAATAGGAGACTCTTCTTCGTGGCATATTTAAATTAAAATGCTGCATAATTACAAAGTTCGTTTATAGCATATAATTATGCACATTTGGATAATTATAATAATAATAATGTCCAAATGTATATAGTTAAACTCAATTAAAAAAGCGTAAATATAAAGAGATTTATTAAAAGTTTTCATACCATTAAAATGCGACAAATACATAGCAATACTCGGATAATGCAGAAGAGGAACACAAACAGATAATTTTAATATGTAATATGTTAGAATTTTTTCTAATTTAATTTTGCGCGTACTATTAAATGTTATATATAAACATTTAAAAACGACATATGATATACATTTAAATAAACAAAAAAATCGTTAATGTTATTAAATTAATTTACGAGACTGATTATATAGTATTTTTAAAAAGCTAAAACTTTTTAAGGGAAAGTCAATGCTACATTCTGTTTATATGCGATTGAATCTTTAATAAGGGTATTTAAACCGTAAAATCCAGGTTTGTTTTTGTACAGAAAACTTGATATTTTCATATAAGTTAAAAAAAGTTTGTTTGTACACAGATTTTCCTTCTCTGTTGAACAAGTTATAATTCAATTATTTCCAGATTATTCACAACATAATATTTAATTGTGTATTTTTCTTAGTCGTATTTATATTAATTTGTCAGTGTGAAATGGCAAACCTAATTCTAAATACGTACACTAAGTTTCCTTATTATAGCTTTCAATACAATTAATTACATGTTATTAGGAAACGATTAAATTACAATTTGTCCATCACTACTTTTTTTATAACTAGAACCAATGAGTATTATTTGTACAATTTCTTACGTTTCCAATATTCTTATGATGATTGAAATCAAATTTAAAAGATAAAATAACAATGTAATATACATAACAGAATAGGGTAGACATTTGTCTTATCACAAATCCAAAATACGTATTTAAAATTTTTTAACGACACACGATTTGATCGTTGACGTTAATAAGTGAACACAATCGAACGAATGAGACCATCTCTGACACTGTGATCAGTATTACCGATTCCAAATGAAAAGAATACAGAATCACAGGTCATATGTTGCGTGCAGAGTCCCATTGGATACCAACCAACTTTGTTAAAGACTACACCCACGCGATAAATCTGTTTTGGAAAAAATAGCGATATTTTTATAAAAGAAAGAGAACACTTTTCTTATTTTCAATACATAAGAGTAGGAAAAAACAGACCTTGTGTTTTTGGATGTAAACAGGTCGATTAAATGTAATTTCCACGAGTGTTCCAACATTTACTTTAGTAGTAAAATGTGTGTACGTTAAACGACTGCCATCAGAATCTAAAAGATGAGCATACAGTATTTCTGTATATGACGTATCAGGATCTGAATTTTGATGTAAATTACTTGCCTGTAAAAAGTAATCAAACGTGTGTATATACATATATATATATATATATATATATATATATATATATATATATTTATATATAAATATACATATATGTATATGTGTATAGGCACGCACAAAATATATGCGAGTTCTTTAATGAAATCGACCAACTTATATTTTTTCATATACATTAATAAATTAACATACCACAGTTGCAATTTGTGTTGGTACTTGCACACCCATAACACAAATGTTTTTGTCCACACTAAATGCCACAGAACAATCTAAAACATTGCTATTAAGGCAGTCCGTTTGATGGGCTATCGCTCGAAGACAATAATACTTTGGTCCCTCACGAATTCCACCTTCAATTATAACTGTAGATGGATTATTCGTTTGACTTAAATTTCCAGAATCTTTTCTTGTTCCTCCTTCGACTACCATTGGTGGTGCATTGTGTAAAGTATTACTACCACCTTCTCCTTCATTATTATAAGATAATTGGTAGTGTAGAGACGTTGAGGGCCAAAATGTACATGAACTAAACGAATTGGTATGTGGAGTGGACACCCGTCTGTGCTTCTATAAACAAAAAACAAAAAAGAAAATATTAATAGAACTGCAACATAAAAATCCAAGTATAGGTTCAACTCAGTACATTACACATACTCACAGATGGACAAAAATGTGCCGACTGTGCTTTCATCAATGGTTTTGCCCTATTGTGCGTATCACTGGAAAATCCTTCGGGTAATGGTGCTTTATTTTCTGTGCATAATATATTCATTAAAATAGCAAAAGCTTCGTCTTGAGTTAACAATGGAGACATTCCTGGACTTTCAGCAAATTCTTGCGGTGTCAAAGTTAAAAATCTAATTTTTGATAAAGCATTACCAATTACAGACTTCAAAGACTTTCCATCAGTTGGATCAAGCGACTTTCTTGCACATTCTGCCTTAGCCCATCGTTCAACAGCAGTAAACAAATCAAGTTCTGAATTAATCTCTAGATCAACTTGTTCTAATACAGTAATTACTGTACCCAATTCTACTTCTTCCCAACTAGGTTCCTCTAAAACCTCATTTGTTTTAGTGCATATTATTTGTAAACACTTTTCCATGAGCACAGGTTCTTCAAAAAGTTTTGCAAACTCATAGGCTCTACAAGCTATCTTTGGCGACAAATCGAACCATAGATATTGCATACATTCTTCCACCAAGGACGGCAACATGTATTTTTTTGCGCAATAGCATAATTCACAGGCAAGTTCAAATGAACCAAGATTAACGCGATCCGTATATATATACTCTAATAGTGCCTTGAATGCATCCGGTTGGACATCGCGTATCTGTATAGGATCATTCTTTTCTGCCATACCTCCGTAAAACATAGCTTCAAATACCGGACTAGACATTGCCAAAAACAATTTATGTCCTTTCAATGTTTCCTGATGGGGTTCTTGACCAACGATAAATTTGCAGTCTGACCATTGTCCTGTCTCAAGCAAATATCTACCACGTTCGGATATCTTTTGCTTGCTGATCTGCCAGTCACAAGGTAGACCCATCTCTGCAGAATATACATATGCGTGATTAGCTTTATACCAATTGATTTCGTTTATCAAAGCAACTCCAAAGTGATTAATGAAACGTAAGAACTAGTTTAAATGAAAATATAAGACATATAGAAAAAGATATACGAGTGATGTAATTCCTGTAAATTAAACGTTTTAAATGAAAAATTAAGGCGATCGAAAGGATAAAGTGCAACATACCTATTCTTACGCGACGTCTCCCGTCGCTATAAATACGGAATATCACATAAACGATGCCAAAAAAATGCGTAGGCTGTACCTACGATCGTCAAAATACGCGCGGGAAAACTATAGACTTTTCCATAATAACAAACGATAAATAGTAACGAAGAAAGATTTCTACGTTTTGTCCGTGTAACTTTGTTACCGAAAAAGCTTGTCTTCTCGAATTAACCAATTTTTCGACCAACGTAACGTTTAGACGATGTAAAAGCTTGTATATCGGTCTATGCACAGAATGCCACCGCCATCTTGTCTGTCGCGTACACCATTACGTCATTTTTCCGAAGTCGTTGATACTCTGTCTTGAAAATATTTTACGCTGTTTCTCGTCAAAAAAAGCCCAATATATTGAGCACAGTACCGTTTGTAAAAATATATACACGTCGAGAAGCATCAACTTCATCATCGACTGAAATCAAAAACAATAATATGCAGGAGCGCGGATCATAAAATCAGAACCGTTCGATTCGATACGTTCGATTTGGACGCGGACAGATTTGGATTTTTTCTTTCTCTTCTCTCTCTCTTTCTCTCTCTCTCTCTCTCTCTCTCCCTCCCTCCCTCCCTCCCTCTCTCTCTCTCTCTCCCTCTCTTCCCCTCTCGCCTCTCTCTCTCTCTCTCTCTCTCCGTCTGCCTCTCTTTTTCTTCTTTTCTTTATATCTATCTTCCTTTTATCCTCGTCTTTTGCATTTTCCTTCTCTACTATTTTCCTCCTCTCCTTTATTTTCTTTTAATGGAAGCAATAGCCTCGGAAAAGCCTCGGCTCCTCCTTTTCGCGCGTTAACGCGGAAGTGTATCAAAGTGTTTCGTACTTTTCATAGGTCTTTCGTGTCCGGCGGTTTTGACGACCGTTGTGAATTTTCCCCAATGGCGCATGCACGGCTCAGCTGTGTGCGTTCGCGATTTATCCGCGCTGAAAGATAATGCTTCTTATAGTATTTTTATCCGATTAGACGGAGTGCTGGACACTGTGCTGGTGACGCTTAGGTACGTGGGACTTGATTTTCCATCGGTCGTCGTACGACCGAGCATGGAAAATGTAGGAGAAGGAGATAAGTCTATTGTGATCTACTCGGGACGACGGGCACTTGCTGTAGAATTCACCTAACGAGCTTGCTGTCAGACGACTGTTGATTTGTCGATCGAAGAGTATCTTGTCATTTTCGCTGAGCTATGTCTATTACGACACAAGTTTCGAATTTTTTCTTTCGTCACAAGGTATACGCGTAATATCCTTCGTCGTACCTTCACGAAAAGATCTATCATTGTGTGTTGTATGTTACATCGTATTGGTAATACGCAAGGGTGTTTTCTTCGTGTTTTTATGAAGACTCCATTTCGAGGAAGAAACGTTTTTCAGAAACGTACGAGCAATGCTTTTCTCGATTCGAACGTACCGTTTGCCTTTCATCATTCAGACGTGTCGTTACGATATCGGGTGTGCCAACGAGTCGTTGCACATTGAATGGATACATGTGTTTTTAAAAACTTTACATCTTTAACTTGATCATTGTGACATCATATCAAACTATAAGTAATGTAATGGTGCTACGTTACTTGTGCCACGCATCAAATGTAAATGACTTTATATTTATATACTTGAGATCGTGAGTTAATGTTATAATTTTCTTATGATTATATTCTTTTGTGCAGGGAAAATGGACTAATGCATCAAGGAACGATTATACTATTGCGGCATCGTAGCCTTACCTCCTAACAGGAGAAATGGATATAATACGAGATGAAGACAGGCGCAGGCGCCTGCGATTGTTGGAGGAACGTATAAAGGACCCAAGAAGTGTGACAAATATTGACAGTTTATTAGATACGGTCCAAGCGCTTGTAGCAGACTGTGATCATCCTGGTGTAAAACGTATGAAGAATATAGAAGCCTATATGAATAGATGTAAGCAATAAGAAAGCGATTAATTAAATTTATATATGAAAGTAATACATCAACTAGCAAATGCCTTTCTTTTTTTTTTTTTTTTTTTTTTTTTTTTATTGCAGATGATTCTGTGGCCCAAGATATTTGTAAAATGCGAATGCGTACCGATGACTTTACATTGATTAAAGTCATAGGACGTGGTGCATTTGGCGAAGTTCAACTAGTTAGACACAAATCTACTCAAAAGGTGTATGCTATGAAATTACTCAGCAAATTTGAAATGGTAAAAAAGTTCAAATAATTGTTATTACGTTTCTACAGATTACATTTATATAGCATATTTATTTGTCATATAATTTTCCTCGATAGATAAAGCGTTCTGATTCAGCCTTTTTTTGGGAAGAACGAGATATTATGGCTCATGCAAATTCACAATGGATAGTTCAACTACACTTTGCCTTTCAAGATCAAAAGTATCTCTACATGGTAATGGATTACATGCCAGGTGGAGATTTAGTTAATTTGATGTCAAATTATGATGTACCAGAAAAATGGGCAAAGTTCTATTGCGCCGAGGTAGTACTTGCCCTAGATGCAATACATCGTATGGGATTTGTACATCGAGACGTTAAGCCGGACAATATGTTACTTGACAAACATGGCCATTTGAAACTCGCAGATTTTGGCACGTGTATGAGAATGGATGCAGTATGTATCATATATTATTTTATTTTATTTTATTTTTTTTTTTTTTTTTTTCTTCTTTTAATTTTCAATAAATTCGAATCGTAATGTTTAATATAGGATGGTTTGGTACGTTCTGACACCGCAGTTGGTACACCTGATTATATATCACCCGAAGTACTCCAGTCACAGGGTGGAGAAGGTGTATATGGTAGGGAATGTGATTGGTGGTCCGTTGGTGTGTTTTTATATGAAATGCTCGTTGGTGACACACCCTTTTATGCTGATTCATTAGTCGGGACCTATTCAAAGATCATGGATCATAGAAATTCACTACATTTTCCTCAGGAGCTTAACATTTCGCATTATGCAAAAAACTTGATATGTGGCTTTCTCACAGATAGAACTAAGCGGTTAGGAAGAAATGGCGTGGAAGAGATCAAAAGCCATCAATTTTTTAAAAATGATCAATGGACTTTTGAAAACTTACGAGAATGTGTACCACCGGTGGTGCCTGAATTATCAGGAGACGATGATACTAGCAATTTCGACGATGTCGATAAGGAAGATGGGCCAGAAGAGAGTTTTCCAGTACCAAAAGCATTTTCTGGAAATCATTTGCCATTTATAGGTTTCACATATTCAGGGGATTATCAATTAATGGCTGCCAATGGCAAAGAATCTGTAGATGGATTAGAAAATCATATAAATAATGGCACTAATGATGATGCCAAAATCTCACAGTTAGAAAATTTATTGGAACGGGAGAGAAGGCAGATAGAATCTATGGAAGCAAGACAGAGGGCTTTGTCTGTTCAGTTAGAGACCATGACACGCAGAGAGACTGAATTGCGTGAAGAAGCGGGAAGAGCGGACAAAGAATTAACTTTATTAAGACATAATTATAAAGAAGCACAACGAAGAGTGGAGCATGAAACGGAAGCTCGTAGGAAGGCGGAATCTTTACTAATGGAATTAAAAAAGAAATTCGATGAAGAACAATCTAGGAGGGCACGAGATGCAAGTAATTCACAGCAGACGTTCGAACGTGTGAATACGTTAGAGAAACAAATTAAAGAAATGCAATCTAAATTGGAAAGAGAAACAGAGACAGTAACAAGATTACGAAAACAAGCTACTGAAATTACCGTAGCTCGTCAAGCTGCTGAACAAATGGCAAATGAATTGCAAATTGCAAGAACACAATTACAAGCTCAACGCGATAGTTTGCAGCAAGAAGTTGCCGCTTTGCAGGTAAAATTTATAAGCTCATAGTGAAATTCAAAGTGATATGATATATGGTATGGGTTCTTTCGTAGGGTCAACTGTCGAAAGAACGTAGTTCTCGCTCGCAGGCATCGTCTTTAACAGTAGAACTCGAAACGCGTCTATCTGCTTTACATCTTGAATTGGAACGTAGTCATGAAAAGGAAGAGAAGGCTACTCTGGATAATAGGCAGCTAAATGAAAAAGTATCTGCGTTGGAAAAAGAAACGGCAAGTTTAACGCTTGAATTAAAGGCTGCACAAGCTAGGTACAATCAAGAAGTAGTTGCGCATCAAGAAACGGAAAGATCACGTATATTATCCAAGGAAGAAGCAAATCTGGAAGTTGTTAAAGGTATCTATATATGTTTATATATATATATATATATATGCATATACACACCTATCAAGATTACAAAATTTTCATAAAGACATGTACCTTTACTTAAATGTTCATCACAGGACATCATAATGGAATATTCTCAGGTAATAATAGTTATATAAATACTTGTTGTGTCGTTTCGGACATTAGCATTATCAAAGTGATTATAAATTTTTCTAATTAAATCTTTTTACTTTTTGATTGCATTCGTATGGTTATACTCTTCTTTATGTATGTATATTATGAATAAGAACTATGTGTTGACAATTATAAAGATAGAACTTTTAAGGATATATATTATCATTTATATACAGCTTTACAAGCAAAATTGAATGAAGAAAAGAGTGGTAGACAAAGAGCGGAATTACTTGCACAAGAAAAGGAAAGACAGACCTCAATGCTATCTGTGGACTACAGGCAAATACAGCAACGTTTGCAGAAACTTGAGGGTGAACACAGACAAGAAGTGGAAAAAGTAAAAGTACTTCAGGGTCAGGTTGAGCAGGAACAGCAAAAGAGAAATGTTCTTCAAACTGATTTGGCACAACAATCCTCGGAAGCTGGAAGGTTACGTGCTCGAGAACAACAATTAATTGGCGAAGTTACACAATTAAGAGAGGCAAAACGACAAATAGAGGAAGAGTTACATCATTTGAAGACTCAAAGAAATGTGGATCAGCTACAGACTAAAGAGTTACAAGAACAATTGGAAGCAGAAGCTTATTTTTCAGTAAATATCTTTATGTTTATTTTCTTGCGACTAATAGTATTATAATGTTTGTTCTAACATTAATAGTAAAATATTGATTTGCTTATTTCTAGACCCTTTATAAAACACAAACTCAAGAATTACGCGAGGAACTTGAGGAAAAAACGCGATTGCAACAAGAGTTGGAGGAAGAACGTAGTTCTTTGGTTCATCAGCTACAATTATCTTTAACCAGAGGAGATAGCGAAGCATTGGCAAGATCAATAGCTGAAGAAACAGTGGCAGATCTTGAAAAAGAACGTACCATGAAGGAATTAGAATATAAGGATGGAGTTGCTAAACATCATCAGGAATTGAATGCTAAGGAACAGATTGTGAACAGACTTAAGGATAGTGAGGGAGAATTAAAAAAATCTGTCGAACAATATATCAAAGAGAAGGAAGACTTGAATAAACGGATTAAAGAATTGCAAGAACAACTCAATAAAGCACAGTCCAATGCCGAAGAAATTGAAAAACTCAGTAGTAAGCTCAAGACGGAACAAGTGCTTAAACAACAAGCTGTCAACAAATTGGCTGAAATTATGAATAGAAAGGATGTTTCTTCTACTGGAAAGAATAAGAATAAGGCGTCAGCTACAGATCTGAGAAAGAAGGAAAAGGACTGCCGGCGATTTCAACAGGAACTTACTCAAGAACGAGAAAAGTATGGACAATTGGCAGCAAAATGGCAAAAGGATCTCCAGGATTTACAAGTAAAATGATATTAAATTTGCGTCGATTGTCTACTATTGAATTTCTAAAAAGAATGTATAACGTGTTTTAATATTTTTTAATTGCACAGGCACAACTCGTCGAGGAAAATCAAGCAAAATTGAGGCTACAAATGGAGCTAGATTCGAAAGACTCGGAGATCGAAACGTTGCAAATGAAAATCGCAAGTGTCAATTCAGAAACAGCAAGTGTTTCTTCCGTGGAAAATGATGCAGAAGATTCCGTTTTATCGGAGCATGGTTCAATGAGATTAGAGGGCTGGTTAAACGTGCCAAACAAGCAAAATATTAAGAGGCATGGTTGGAAGAAGCAATATGTGGTCGTTTCTTCTAAGAAAATCATTTTTTATAATAGCGAAAACGATAAAATGAATGCAGATCCAGTTTTGATATTAGATTTGAGTAAAGTATTTCACGTTAGATCTGTCACGCAAGGTGATGTTATCCGCGCCAATGCCAAAGATATTCCTAGGATTTTTCAGGTAAATTATAATACTCGTTATAAACACATAATATGTGCAATGAGTATGTAGATTGAAATAACCCTTTTTTCTCGTGTTATTTTTTATGCAGTTACTTTATGCCGGCGAAGGTGAAGCTAGACGACCTGGCGACGAAGGGAACGCACTATCCGGAATAGAATTACCACAGCTTACGGACAAACCTGGTACACAACAATTAAAAGGCCATGAATTCGTTTCAATATCTTATCACATGCCAACCACGTGCGAAGTTTGTTCTAAACAACTTTGGCACATGTTTCGTCCATCTCCAGCTCTGGAATGTCGAAGTAAGCTACAAATAAAATGAAATAAATTATCTGATCTTAAAAGTTTTAATGTTACACAAATCATTATTCACGTAGGATGTCGCATAAAAGTGCATAAGGAACATTTGGAAAAGAAAGAAGATGCCATAGCTCCGTGTAAACTACATTATGATCCAAACAGTGCACGAGAATTGTTGGTCCTTGCTGGAAGTCCAGAAGAACAAAAATACTGGGTCTCCAGATTATCTAGGCGCATTCAAAAATGTGGTTATAAAGCGAATTCACATGTCGATGGGACAGGACAACGTGTCTCGCCAAGGTAGCGTAGCCGTGCAGCACAGCGTAGCCAGGGACTAAATAGCTCTCGTGTATTGTGGCATCGCATGATCGCGGGTGTAGAGAGGTCAGAGTCGTTTGATTTTTTCCGCTTTCTCATAACTACTATCTTTCTATATTAAACGTATGAAATTAGAATCAATGTACTTTCTAAGTGCGAGAATCTCACTTAGCGCAAAATCAAAATCTGTTTGAAGAGTATGAGGACAAGGGAACGATCCAGGTTGGCTAATAATAACTCCGTTCGTTGTCTTATTGAAAGAGATAATAGGGATCAAATATAGCTTTTATCAGCATCTTATGGATATGCACTGCATGCCGGCATATGAAACACGCATTTGTATAGTAAAAAGATCGATGATAATATTTTCATAGAAAATGGTATTACGATGTAATGACGTTTCTGAAAAAAAAAAAAAAAAAAAAAAAAAAAAAAAAAAAAAAAAAAAAAAGAAAAAAGAAGAAAAAAAAGAAAAGCATGAAAAGAGGCATTTGAAAGAAGTATGCGAGCTTCAAGATCATACAAGCTTATCGCGTTAACAGGGCAATTGTATCAAATCTTATTGATATGCATATTTTTAGAAACCGCTGATATGCTTCTGGAGCTTCCTATATTTCGGGCATTGATAATTATTTTTCTTTGGGAATGTATTTTTACATGTCGCATCTTTGCTGTTCAATGCGTAGATATAAACAATGAAAATATTGCTTCCGCGTTCTTCATTCTATTTTCTGTCATTTCAGGGAATCGACCAGATCGACGTTAAAGCCATATTTATCGGTGCAACAGCGCTCAGCGACTTTACCAGCGAATGCCAGTATGGGCAAGTGACCTTAGCTCGCGTTGAAAATATCTTCAGTCGTCAGTGCGCTTGATTGTTATCATTTAGTCCTTCTCTAATTAAGGTTCGACTTAGTAAACGCGTCGCGTCGGTTGATTCTCATTGTTCACCCGATGATTCTTTAAGTTCATTCTCACATACATTTTCCAGAAGCCGTGTTTTCAGAGTCTACCCACTTGTAGTACACACGTGTTGTCGGATTTGCGATCCAAATACACTGTTAACAAATACCATATTAGTGGAAAGGAAGGAGCAAAAAATGACTAACGACTGCGATAGGCCGATTTCATTTCTCGGCGAATAGCAATGTAAGAAATTCCAATCAAGTCCCAGAGCTGTATGGAAAAAACAGGGTTACTAGATATACCACGTGGAGTCTAAAGAAATGGTTTTTCGGAATATACGTACGATCAAGGGAAAAAAAGTAAAGGAAAAAGGATAAGAGAAGAATGACAGTAATCGTTATTTATAACAGATCGACGAATAATGCTTATCTGAAAACAATCTGCGATAAAGAAATCAAAGTGATGTACACGAATGTTATGCAGCCTTCCTCGTATTCCTTTGACTAAATTTATTGTATTATGGCAAGTGACTTTATCCATTTGCCGCGCGAGATACTCGATTTGTTGAAACTTTATTACGTTATTAGTGTCCCTTGTGAAAAGGCATATCGCATATTCATTGTAGTTTGTATATGAATGCTTAAATCGAATGTTCTTTGTATATACACTTGTCGGCACCATATCCAAGGGATAGAGCGGCTCGGTGCTTCTTTATTTTTTCGTTTCTTATCCTCTTAAAGCGTAGAATCAAGCTGGATATTGAGCATTATTTGCTCGAAAGACTAACGAGTTTATCACAGGATATTTATAGTATTATTAAAATTTTATATTTTTTCGAAAGTAAAATATTTAAATTCTTACATCGAACTAACATAGAGGCAAGTTTTCACTTGCTCGAATCATCGAAAACAGCTGCCAAAGTTTTGTTTGTCTGTTCTTTTTTCTTCTTCTTTAACGCGAGATACGAACAGTCACGAAAGAGACATGTTAAAAGTTAAAAGCGAAAGTATGGTTAAACAAAAACAAAAAAAAAAGAAAATTATCAAAACCAGCACAACGATAAGTGCTAAGATAAGTTAACGCTAAGAGCGAGCTTCGTTGTACAGTAGATGTAATATTTACAGTTATGACCTACGAAAGTTTTATGATATAATATACGAATGTTCGCGCGAAACTTTTTGGATTGGAAAAAAAAAAGAAAAAAAAGATGCATAATCTCGAGAGAGAGGCGCTTAGGATTCTATTGTGCGTGCCCTGCGTTGAAGTAGAACGTGGCACCTAACGACAAAAATTAGCACGTATAAAAAACAAAAACAAAAAAAAAAGCGTATGAGTATTAACGCGTTGTCGCCGCTTGTGTTCTTATAAAAGGTACCCTCTGCGATGCATTCACTTTACGTTTCACGTAATGATGCGCGATAAAAGAAAACATGATCGTTCGCGTGCGACTCGACGCGTCTCACCCTTTCTTTTCTATAGATCCTCGTGTTTCTCTTTCACGCGAGATTGACATGGTGCTCCCTCTCCTACTCTCTGGATCGATCTGGAACAAAAAGAACGTGGAGCTTCCAAAACAAAAACAAAAAAAAACCAAACAAAGAAATGGAATTTTCTTTTTCTTTTGATGCTCGCGCAACGTGAATTTAGATGAACGAAAAGCGAAGAATTTCAGCGGAAAGGAACACCATCCAACTTACTACCCTGTGCCTTCTTCCCGCTTTCAGTCTCGAGCGTGTAATCTTTCGCGAGTTGCGAAGATCGAAGGAGAATCGATGATATCGCGAAAAAAGAGAAGAGAGAAAAATGCGGAAAGATGCGGAAGAGAACTTGTTACAGCATATTTTATTATTGTTTAGTTATTTACAATCTGTATATTATTAATTAATATTACGATTAAAAGTATTTTGTAGATAATACGCAAGTGTGTAGACTTTTCTATGACAGCCGATCTAATCGTCCAACGGCGGCCCTCCTTGAGGATGGATTCAAGTTTGAGGTTTTTTTTTATTTTTTTATTTTCTTTAATATTATAAATATCTTCTACTGCGTGTATCTCGTACTTGTGTCTGTGTTTGTCTCGATGATCCAGAATCTTGTTACTTTTCTTCCTATCTTTTGCAAGGCCTCACAATATTAAAATCCTTCGTTGTTACATCACTTGCTTTTCGAATCGATCGTGCACTTCGAAGTGCATATCACCCTGCATCCACGCGCGTACACGCACGACAATATCACGTATATCTCGTGCTTTTATATGCGCGGTTAAAGCTCGATCAGAGATTCTATTTATTTCTCCAAGCATACGAAGATCGGCAGATGAATGCATCAACGAAGAGACGAAAGAATGCAAATTCAATTATCGTATAAACGTGCATGCAAACTGTTTTCTGCCTTATCGTGCTTTACGTTTACGCCGTTATCACACAAAAAGACGTAGATTTTTGTGTCTCATCGTTTCGAGATGATAAACAATGCTCAAACAACTAATTAGACTGCACGATCCAGAGTTAATTAGCGGCCTCCTTTAGCGTTCATTCACGACAACGCATCGTAGATGAAGCGCTTCTTGAATTAATTAAGATAGATCTTTGCGAAACGTTCGTGTGTACCACGCGTGTTGAAGAGTGTTTCGTAGAGATCGTTACGACGTTGTCTTCGCAAGAATGACACGCCAAGTGAGGTAACATCCTGCACTTTTTGTACGGATAAGAAATGTGTACCTACTTCAACGTATCTCACTACTTTCCACCAAGAGAGGGATGCATTCATTAATTGTCATAAGTATCGTATATGCGACATAAGGTAGGAAAATCCGATATACTTTCGGATGCATGAATAGTGATATGCAAATTGATCGACGACGTTGTCTAAAAGAAATTCGCACGGTTATTAATATTTCCTTCAATGCACGGCCTTTTGTTAGTTCGAATGATAACGACAGAAATGAATCTTCGTAGGCGCGAAGATGTAATTCGATTAATAAAACTATATTTTTTCTACCTGTTTGATATGTAACACACGTTTCTTCATAGCGGGAAAAAGAATAAGAGAAAAAAGAAAAGAAAAGAAAAAGAAGAGAAACGAAAGGAGGAGATAATTTTTGGAAGACATGGAAAAGAACGAAATTATGTACGCGACAATGAAGGAAATACAATCGTAAATACGTGCATCCACTAAAAAATCTCGACTTATATACAACATAGAGGAGATTTGCCGTTATTTTGGCGCACTATTATATAAAGGCGATGTCGATACACTCGGTAAACATATGCATGCATAGTTGTGGATTACAATCAGATCGTCTGGATCCGGATATAGAAAGAGAGTGCACCTCTCGGACTGAAACGTAGTTAATCTTGCTCGTTGCTACTTGACCGTCTATGTATATACGTACGTAGGTAAAACTACTTTGCGACTTGACAACGACAAAGCTGTAAAAACCTTTGGAAATTCTGAAAAAAATCTTTCTTTTTTTTTTCTTTTTTTTTTTTTTTTTTCTTTCCTTTGAAACACTGTCTGCAAAAGTCTAAGCAGGCACACCTCGGATTTTTCGTTCAAAGATTGCAGCTTTCTTATCCATCCGGTTGTAATAATTCTCGTCTTCCTTTTTGTTCTTCGAACGTTTTAAAATGCTGCAAAGCTTCATCGTCCCTGGTGAATAGCTCCGCTCGTTTAATTTCCGACGAGACTACGTAGTCTCGTGGCAAAAGATTATTTCCTAACGAGAGCGACTAAACTACGGTGCGTCAACTTTGGCTTGATCATGTTCTTCGTTTGACCGATCGTCGTCTGTTGATTGTTTCGATTCGCCGCAGCCGTTTGTTGTTTCTTTTTCATCGATTCCTGCTTGGCACCTCTATACGCAAAATCGTAAGATGATTTTATTCATAAGAGATACCAAATATAAAAAGTGACAAAACTGGGATAATCCAAAGTTTCGAAAGATCTTACAAGTATCGGGTAAGATCCTCGACGTCAACGAGCATCGAATCTTGCTCCATATGTAGATCGTCCCTTCTCAAGAGTCCTTCGACCAGAGCTTCGTTCAAAGCAGCGATTCTCGCGTGTAGATCATTAGCTATTACTTGAAGCTGTGCAACATTGAGTTCCGTGAGTAAAACTCTAGACAACCGTCGCCTATCCTCCCCCAGTTGAATGCCAACCTTTTTACAAAGAGACCATTTGAAAATCGATTATCGACGAGTTCTAAATTAAGATTTACAATGAAAAAGAGTCGTTCGATCTTTTATTTGACTTACTTTTTCCAGACTGGATCGTACCATTTCCGTGATAGGACTTTGTTTGAGCCTTTGCCTTTCCACTTCCATTTGCATATGAGCCATTTCTTTAGCCTGTGCAAGTGCCATGCGTGCTTCCGTTTGAAGTCTCGCTTGGCGTGCAAAAAAGTCTGCCTCGTCCACCGGTGCTGAATTTGTACCAGAGTCGAGTCTCAACGGTGGAAGGCTGAGTACTTGAGGTCTGGCGGGTGTTTGCTGCTTCGCTTGCTGTTTCGCTTGCTGTTTCGATCCACGGGACATTGGTGTAGATCCTGGCAAAGCGTCGCTCTCCGAACATGACGATTCTGTGTCCGATGGTGTCTCATTCATGAAGCAAATTTGAAGATTCATGCCTTTGGAGAAGTAACGCGTTCGATACGTTCAATAAAATAAATAAGTACCAAATAAAATTTTTATTTATATTATTTAAAATTATTATTTTACGTATATTATATATGTATAGTAATAACGTACATACGCATTCACTTTTCCACCTGGTAAAAATTTTAATAGATTTTTTTAAGAATTTTAATAGTAAAGATTCATCGTAAAATGTCATATTGTTCGTTTTATATAATGGTTTGTACATGACTTATCTTTAGATCGCAAGGGTTCGAGCCTTAAGGGATGCTCGCAAAGAGGGATAGAACCGATACGAACCACTTTGTAGGCGAGACTGAAGGCTTGGCTTTCTTCCGCGTTCAGCGCGCATGTCTTCGGCGTCCGGACCCATTGCGAGTCTTCTTCTAATCTCCTCACGGTCGTTCCGTCGCTGTTGGCAAATAAAATATTTCATTGTATGTATGTACAATATATCTCACGAATTCCCGCGGGCGTGAAAACGGTCCTCGACCGTTGGCGTTGATCGCCGTAGGCACGCCTTTCATTTCGACTTCGTATCCGAATACTTGTGCAGCTAATAACAGGCCGCGTTTTACGAGCTTGTTCCAATTTTTTTTTCTTTTTTTTTTTTTTTTTTTTTTTTTTATTAACCTCGCAAGACTACTCTCTTACCTTTACGTTCAAACAGCTTATATATTTTCTACAAGAGATAAACAAGACGTATGACATTTAAATTACACGGTGTAAGGAGTGAAATAAACCTATATATTTGAAATAAACCTTCGTTCCAAGGACAAAGAAAAGTTACATATATAAAATCTCGCTATATATAACGAAAGAATATTGAATTAAGAAAAAAATTGCACCTCAAGCGTATCATCTGGATCTCCTCGGATCAATCTATCGAATCGAGCGATCAAATCTTCCCTCTCGGGATCTTTCTCTTCTTTCGGTTTCTCAAGCACCTTGACTTCTGGTACCGGGACGGGTGCTCTCGTCGTGTCGTTGTCATCTTCCTAAGACGTTCGATCATACGATCAAATTATTTTTACGAGCTGGAACATCTTTGAACAAACGATCGTAGCTAGGCGACAGCGAATGATCTTTCCATACGCGCGTGTATTCTATAATTATTTATAGAAAGGTTTTACGTTAATCAAGAGTCTAATTAAAGCAACGAGGGACTAGAATACATCGAATAAAATTCGATCGTATACAAGCTACCCGATTAATGTTCACTATGTCTTCAATTATTGGATTTGTAACCAATTAAAAGGAAGTTTGTATAGTGATTAAAGGCCACAGTTCATCGTATAGGTCATAAAAAGCACTGAACGTAACACGAAATCGATACACGTCTTTTTTTTTCTTTGCAACGTATGCTTACTTAAATCATCGATTTCTATTTAACGATAATTGTCGATTATATCGATAGAAGAAAAAAAAACGAGAGAGAGAGAGAGAGAGGGGGGGAGAGAAATCCAAGTGTGGCGCACTACGATTTTCTCTATCCTAAAAGAGGAACCTCTACTTTCAAATCGCACGTTCTAGATGGTCTTTAAGGTAGACGAGTATACGAAGAGAGTTAGCCAAGTGGCTTGCCGAGCAAGCAGCGAGAGATATGGTATCGTATCGAGAAGTAGGCGCGTAATTTTACGTTTCGATAGTTGGACGCTGTCGCCCGCTTAGTCGGGTTCCCATTACATCTGTAACTTGTCATTATTGAGCAACCTGAGCTTACGAGATCAAAGTCGTCGTAAGTGAAGGTGTAGAGATCAGCCACAAAACGCGAATCCTTCTTGTAGTGTCTTCGAGACTTGTTGCTGCTACCCATATTGTTCTTCTTTTCTTTCTTTTTATCGACGATAAAGTGGAATTTTTCTCTTCTTATTTCTTCTTCCTTTCCCTACCAATCACGTGTCCTCGTTCGTTATAAATACGTCACGAGAGAGATACAGCACGCGGAGCACGAGACCAAGAAACGTGCACGCGAGAGGAGAATCGTGCTACACTGATACAAACCAAACTCGAGAGAGAACGTAGAAACTAACCGAACCGAACCGAACCGAACCTTCTTCTTCTTCTTCTTCTTCTTCTTCTTCTTCTTCTTCTTATTTCTCTTCCGGCGTACGTACACTTCTTTCTAGGCTTAACCACAGAGTTAACACGGTGGTGGTGGTAATGTTGATGACGACGATAGTAGGCTAGTGGTGGTGGTGCCGTTGCTGCTGCTGCTGCTGCTGCTGTTGCTGGAGAGTAGCTAACTGTCTAGGAGCGTCTAACGTCTGGCCAAGTCGTTCACGATCCTTGGTGAAAGTGGTCGACACGGTTGACGCGACCGTGGCACTTGTTGCCGTAGCTCTCCGCTACCTTCCTCCGGTCTTTTACCTCGCATTTTCGTTATTTTCTCTATTAATTATTTGCACAATTTTCTCAACAAATATACAATAATGATAATAATGAATGGAAATAAAAAGAATAACTTCGTCTTGAATGATCCCGTCTCTGGCGAAGTAACAACAGTACATTTAATATGATACATTTACTTCTCATAGCTTTCAAAGCTCTTTCTATTTACTTCTCTTTTCTTTCGAGATGTATCCTTCTTTACTTCATAGTCACTACCGAGGATACTCTCGCGAATTATTTCCCCGTTACGACTTCAACAAAAGAACATAAACAGTGTTTGAGGTAGACGTAAAACGTCTTGGTTGGCTGATCATGCGCGTCCCTTGACCCACGTATACTTCTACTTTCGGTTAGTTACGTTTCTCTGTTTATCTTCGTCTTTCAAACGACTATAGTACATGTTTCAACTTGATCCTACTAATGAAGAGCTTTACTAAGAGATGAAGATATTTTACTACTTAAAAAATACAATGATGTTATTAAATTTTTTCCCGTTAAATTTAATCTTAATTATTACAGAGTTATGTTCAAATTTATTCCATCTATAGATTTGTCGCGGATCAGTTTTTTTTCCTCTCCTCACTTCCGTTTCCGTCTTCGAATTAACATACAATGTAGATATACAAGATAGATCGTGCATAATAAATCGAATCTCGACAGAGAGAATGAAAAATGAGACCGTTATTGAAAATTTTGCTAAGTTAACATGATTGAATTTATGCACGAACAATTTTAAGTTTACACATTTAATTTAACGTATCAACTTTCCGATTACACGTCCGTGAACTATGGATCGTATTTACTCCTCGTGTTTCTTCGTTGTTTTCATTTCGTTATAACGAACGTCAAAGTTTATCGACTCTCGCTTATCAAAATTTCCTACAGTACAATGTTGATTATATGCTTTCTGTGCATTCGTGTTAGCGAAGATTAGATTATAAATCGAGTCTGGGTTTTCGTAAATCTAAGTCCGTTCCTGACCAATGGCCTCGAGCGAAAGCCTACATGCATGCACGCCTACTCTCTGTATATCTAAGCGTACGACATACATATATACATACATATATGTAAACAAATGTGTACACACACACACACACAAACAAACATGCATGTATGTATGTACAATAAATACGAGGATGCACATCCGCGAAGAATTACGGCGTGACTGTTATACGATCCACGACCCTTTTAAAACTATGATATCTCAGGTAAGCCCATGGAAGAATAATAGAGAAACGTGAATAGAGAATGTCTGAAGTAGCAGCAAGAAAAAGAAGAGGCAGACCTGGTGCCGGCTTGTGCCACTTGGCATGATGCTCTTTTAACAATCAGCGACAAGTAATAACGCGCTTTGAAAAGGGTGTTCTCGGCTGATTATAAACGTGTACCTTTTCTACGTCTACATTTCAAAAGTTACTATAAAAGCATTGCAAATCAAACGTCGTTTATTTTGCTGCACTCTTATTCGAGATACGAAATTCGAAAGGAAACTCTTATTAATTATACCATTATATATCGTTCATCTGTGCGCGTCTCTTTCTTGTCAAACTATTTCCACTCACCCGTCGCTCTTCTTCACGCGCAGCTCTCAAATGCGACTCGATCGCATCCAAGTCGATCTTTGGCATTGCCGTTTCGATATTGAAGACATCAAATCCACCTTGAAAAAAAGAAGGTTACACTTGAGACTTTTAAAGTATCTTACGTCGGCGATGCAGACGTGGCACCGCTATCGGCGGACTAAATATAACGGAATAACGATGCGCCGGTATCGTAAAAAGTTCGATCGTTCGTTAAATTTGTTCTCCTCTTTTTATTTCATTTTATTTCTCTTAGATGACCATTGAGTTTCTTTTAATGACCTTTATACATCGATAAAGATAATACCTTGACTGATAAAACGCAAGAGCGAAAACGAAATACGTTTAAAAGATTTACTTTACGACTGAAAAACTATGCATGCACATGCTTCAACCGTGAAGAAACGCGCATTGCATGTGCGTTTCGAATATGTCGTATTTGACTAACGAAGCTTTTATTGTCTTTTAGATTACTCTAATCGCGATATTTTCCTGAAACAACTTAAAAGAAACAATGTGAGATTACTTCGCGATTACTCGACCGACGTTTATTATAGCCCGTTCGAGTTAAAATATGTAAGGAAGCGATACCTGGACCGCTCTCGGTATCGGCCCTTCGCTTATCCGGCCGTCGCGAGTTGGACGACCGAACTGGCTGTTGCTGTTGTTGTTGTTGTTGTTGTTGTTGTTGTTGTTGTTGTTGCTGTTGTTGTTGTTGTTGTTGTTGCTGCTGCTGCTGTTGCTGCTGCTGTTGTTGTTGTTGTTGTCTTCTCTTTGCCTGGTTTCTCACCATCTTTTCTTTCTTCCTACAGTCGACGCTCGACGCGTCGGAAAGATCTCGATCTAAAATCTTGTTCGTGTCTTCCGAGACAGGATCCTTGAGCATGTTGCGATTGCCGGACGCGGAGCGCGAAGAGCCGCGTGAAGAGCCGCGCGATGAGCCACGCACGGTGTCAACGGCCTCCATGGCTACGACGTCCGGAACGGACTGAACGTATTTTTCGAGATCAACGCCGATGTCTCGACCGATGCTCGAGAGAAGATCAATTTCTTCGAGCTTCGTGTACGTTGATTGTTCTTCGGTGTAACCTTCGGTGTCGGTGTTAGTCTCAGAGTCACCAGGAGAACCGTTCGACACGATCGTCGTTGCCGTCGCCGTCGACGTTGTCGTTGCTTGATTGCCTATTTTGGAGCGGTCGGTGCGAGGCAATTCCTTTGCCTCGCGTATGAGGTCGATGTGCTCCACCACGCTATCCTCCGTCTGCGAATGAATTCAAGATCGTAATAAGTGCTATGCCGAACGCATTATTAACCGTAGCTACGTAGAGACCGGCTCGCCGGCTCGAGTCGACGCAAAACGCTTCCCTCTCTGCACGTGCGATAGCGCAACGGACCGCCCGCAGCAACGCTACTCTTTGCTTTTAGATCTCTCATTCGCTCTAATCGCTCGCTCTTGCGCGCCTATATACACTAACCATGCCGTTGCACTTGATGCGTTCTACGTCCAAATATTACAACGAATATTTTTTCTTTCTTTTTAGAATAATCGAGATATATAAAAGAGAATTTTCTCTTTCATTTACCTCGCCTACTTCGCTGGTTTTTCCCGAATCTAAAATCTCCTCGATTTCTGGAAATTGTAACGTCTCCTTCACGCCGATTGACAATTTGAAGACCTCGAGCTCTACGTCCAGCTCTCTGTCGTGTTCGTTTTTGAGAATCTCCTCGGAATGACGGAACGGTTCTTCGGATTCCAATGTCAAGAAATTTTCAGTCTCGATGATCACCGGTTCTGGCGAAAGAGCCTTCTCCTCCGACCTCGAAACCTCCACGCTCTTCACGTAGTTTATACACTTCTCCGAGGGTGGCACCACTGACTCGTACAGAGAAGTCACCGTCTGCAAGCACGTGTGCGAGAATACCAAGAGCATTATATGTTGCATTAACATTCGATAATTAAGGAAACTTGTAGCAATAGTAACGCGATATGCAAATTTCTATTAAAGATCAAGCAAATTACATTCTCTTTTTCAAAGGAAGTCCAATTAAACGAGACAGTCAAGCCTGAAAATGATACGAGGATAATCTAACTAGGAGAACGATCGAATAAATCGTATAATGGGATGGATCCATTGGTTAAAATGATGACGTCTTTAAACCTACCTGTATATTAAATTTAGGCTTTTCGTAAAAGGTCTTTCGATCGTTTCTCTGTCCGCAAAGATGATTGATACTCTCGTCGATATTATTGTTATACTCGTTGCCGTTTTCGCTGGAGCGACCGTCGATGTCATTCAAACGGATATAATCCGGGCAGCTGTCGTGCTCGTCTTCGGTAAGGTCGGTATCCGAGAGCAATGAAGGCGCCAGATGTTGAAATCCTGGATAGTTGGTATTAACGATCCCGCAACAACCAGACGGAAGATTTCCCTCCTCGGACAGATCCGACCACTCGGACGGTGTCAATTCGTGGGACGACGAATCCTCCCGAGAAGAGTTACGCCCTGTAAAATTTCACGCTCGTTGAACATCGACGGAATAATCGTGTATTCGCGCGGCTCTTGACTGACTCATCATTGTGGTGCTTATCGCGGTTCACGAGCAACCGGCCGGCCGCCGGCGACTCGTTGATTTCTGACTGCGAATTTTCTCTCTGCGAACCACTCTATTCTATTCGACTCGACTTGACTCGTTAAATTGCTCCTCCCGTTGCGCAATTTACCCCTTCCAATATCGAGTTGACTCGTCTTCTCTTTTAACGGAATACTATTCTATCGTACTTGGAATCTCTGGAACATTAGATAATCTTCTCAATGAGATCTCGTTAAAAGTGGATGATGTTAGTCACCGCTCAAAGGTGCACTCTAATCGGTGAACTTGAAATAATGCGACATCTTTGTAACGACGAACAATGTCAAGGAGAAATCTCGGCTACGTGTGTGTGTGTGTGTGAGTATATACGTCTACACATGTTTCTTCTATAGGTCAGGAATTAAAATCTACTACCTCATGTATCATAAAATCTTTACCTTCGTAATCGGCAAGACTATCGATCGAACTATTTCGACGAATCCTCGAGGTGGTCAGATTATTGTTGATGTTGTTGCGTCCGTTGTTGGCCGATTCAAGCTGAATGTTGTCCCGCGCTATGGCGAGCGAAGACCACGTGGTAGTGTCCTCGGCGACGTGAAACTCGACCGTTTCTTCCAAGCCGAAATCCGTCGACGAGGATGAATCGTTTTCCTCCGTCGTCGCTTGATTCTCGTTACTTCTATGAAGCTGACTGTGAACAGAGCAACATGCTCGAATGAATCGATCCATTATCCACAGCTCCTATGTCGATCTATGTCGATACAAATATAGGATCTCGCGTCTATGTGCTTTTTCCTTGAGCACGAAGAGCCTATCTATAGATGAACGAAAGATTTACATATATAGATCCATCTATCTAGAGATCGCTGCGGAAATACTACACTAGGTGTGTATGTGTCTCTCTCTCTCTCTCTCTCTCTCTCTCTCTCTCTCTCTCTCTCTCTCTCTCTTTCTCCTTGGAGAGCGTATTATTCATGTACTTCACGAAATTTCATCGATCCCTGTGAGTATTTGTTCCTGTGTATCCATTAAAGTACATTTAATGAGCTAATAGGTCACGAGAGAGAGGAGAAGTACCTACTGATAGTACGGGTGAAATGTTATTGAAACGAGAATGCATTAACGACGTATTATAAAAATAGATCGATCTCGTTGCTTACCTGTTTGTCAACCAACCGTAAATCTACCGATTATAAGCTATTATGCTTATAGTAGATAATGTAACAAAAAAAAAAAGGAAATAAAAAGAACGAGATGGTATAAATAAAATATTCTTCTTTTTGTACGAAAATGTATCAAAGTCTATAGATTTACTTGTCGATACGATGTCGTTCGTTTGATTCTTTGAAAGAAACGCTTCATCTTTGTTTCATCTTCCTGACACTTGTTATTCATCCCTTATTTGCAAAGTACGATGGTTAGAAGGGTTATGATAAACTCTAAAGCTACGTCGAGCGACATTGGACAAAATAGAAGATCTTTAAAAAAACGAGGACACTCTAGAAAAAATAAGACTATTTAAAATGTAGCCATTAGATAAGCGAAGAAAGAGAAAATTGCCTTTGGCTAGATCGCCGTAGACATGCATTCACACTTCCCATTCAAGTCGAAGCTTCTGTGTACTTCACAGGACAAAGATTTTAAGAGGAATTTTAAATTGACGAGCGTAGAGCATATGAACGATCGAACAAAGGTAAATCCTCGTTGTCTTTCGTGAAACGGGCAAATATGTCCAATGATTGTTCGGCGTTAGAATCTTACCAAGGCTGATAAATCATGGACGATCCATGTGTTCTTCGTAGAAGCGAAGAAAACATTTTGCGCTTGATAGCTGGAATCGATTTTTGAAAGTTCCAGCGAAGAGATCGTGTCTCTAATTTTCTCCAACGAAAGGATATACAGCCTTGAGTGCACTTAACCGAAGAAAACAGACACGAAGGTAGACTTACTTGTTGTTCAATCCTCCTGGATGAAAAGGTAGCGAGACGATGGCCTCCCTGAGTCGCATATCGAATCCTCGTCTGAAAAAGAAAGAAGAACTGTAACAAACTGTTCCAAATAAAAAGATCATAATTTTCGAATGTCTCCGATTGTTATACTCGACGAATGTATCGGGTCTACCCGATGGATCAAAGGGAGATGCTCGATTCCACTCGCCTTTTCTTTCGATCTCACGAGATCATTTTTTTCTCGGCTCGTTGTAGTATACGTGCTCGTAAGGAAAGAAAAAGAATACGTTCGTGAATAAAAAACAAAGGAAAGGAGAGAAGAAAGAAAGAAAAAGATCGATTGTGCGTAAATCTCGACCACCGCTATCCGTAAGAGGAATGGAAAAAGGAAATGGGACTCACCGTCGGCCATGTTGAAGCCGTGCGCAAGGGTGCTCGCGTTTCCCGTGGTTTATCGACTCGCAACCAACACCCTCGTTTCGTTCTCCTTTCCCTCTCTCTTTCTCTTTCTCTCTACCCCTACTTCGACCCCTCCTTTACTCCCCGACTTACTCTCTTCTCCGACTGGGAAAGCGTGGATATGTAATAAAATCACCGACAACAAAAATATTGTCTCCCTTTTCTTTTTTTCTTTCTTTTCTTTCACTTTTCAAAATCCTAAGTTACTAACGAGATATCCTTATTCGTCTACAATTTCGTTTCAGTACGCACGAGTATTATAGTATTTTCTTATATGGGTACATTTGTATTTTGTCAATCCTAATCTTTCCTTGTTCCTCTGTTGCTCGCTCTATTCAAAATCCCTCGCTAACCCTCTATTTCTTTCCATGGCTTCTGTTTTAACTCTCCCACACCTCGTATTTCTTTAGCACACCGATGAATCTTGTTACGGAACGTCGAAAAGAATTCACTGATGTTTCCCCTTTTACGTTTATGTACCAAGAAACTGGTAAGAAGTTTTGAATCGAGAGGTTTCCTCGAACCATCGATCTTCGTCGCGACTAAACGGATTACATCGTTGTGAAAATGCATGTGCTCAAATTTCACGATCGATGTGTTTTATAAGTCAAGAGAAGAAATTTCATGAAAGATTGTTCCTTATTTTAATCTCGTCGCATAATCTCACGTCAAAAAGAATGATAGAACGAAGCATAGTCGTTTTAATTCTTTTATTTGTGCGTGCGTGTGTGTCAACGTGTAGAAAGTCACGCATCGATCGATCGACTACTCTCATCTTTGTGCGTTCCGCTCCGTAGCGTAGAGTGGTCCCTTCCTAATTAATACAGAGTCTACCTTTGTTCCGCGTTAAAAGAACAAAAAAAAAAAAAAAAAAAAAAAGAAAGAGCACACGCGCTGACGCGAGGCTTTCAATTTAAAAGAATATTATCCCCTCGTAGCGCGAACGAATATGGCTGCCTTCCCATACATAATCGAAATTGTGCCTTCACCGCAGTCACACAGAAAAACAGAGAAGCTATAATTTTATCAGCTTTAAAAATGATTTTTCTACTAACGTAAGCACGTAGTATCCTTGACAATGACTAAGTTAAGCAAGAAAAATAGATCGCATCGTTTTATAAATTAACAACATTGTGTATTATAGACAAAAGGATGAACAATGGAATGAACGATCGAAAGAGAATGTTACCATTTAAAGATACCGATCAAATCGAAGCAATCAAATAATTTATACGATTCGATTAAAATAGAATGACGATTTAAGAATACTCTCCTTCTCTCCTTCCTATTCTCGGTGGAGCGAGTACTTTGCACCCTATTCCTGTATATAGTTGTAACGTCATCTATACGAATCTACGAGTTTCCATGCGCGCGTAGAAAATAACAAACGAACGAACGAACGAACGATTGGTTTACTTTAAAATCGTTCAACATTAATTACCGATTTATTATGCTCGTTAAAAAAAGTTACTTACATTATTCGTGGATAGTAGACAAGTATATCTTTCGGAAGAGTCGAATGTACCAATCCCTTGATCATCCTTTTCACGGCTTAGAAAGGGACGATCATGAGGCGCGTCTTCGTTCTCGCATTCCACGAATTCGTCTGCGAGGGAAGAACGATGATAGTCGATAAAGCAACGGAGCTCCTTACGTTCTCGAACTTGAAAAGCAAAATAATAACAAATAAGTCTTAAAGCGAATGCGAAGGAAATTAGACGGTCGAAGAGAATAGAAAGGAGAGAATTTCACGAGAAGAACGGGAGCAAACTGCGAGACAGTATATACGCTCGGTGTTCGATCTCTGTCTTGCTCTCTCTCTCGCCCTTCGTTGAAGATACGTCGCGCATGCGTCTCGATGCCTCGTGGGGTTGTTGGCAGTTCTCTCCTTCGAATCGGATCGAATATTTTTCTTCGCTTGCTTTCTTTCCTTCTTTTTTCAATGCCTTTTATTCTCGTTTCATCCTTTCCCTATCGTTTCCACCTCTTTGTTTCGAGCCTACTACTTTCCATCAGCTCGTCCGCCGATCTAGACAAATTAAAAAATAATCCTTAAAAACGTAGCATTGAGTATATTCTTGATCCCGTTCGTTGAACTTCTTTCGATGAACAAGCATTAGAGAAAAGAAAATGTTAATTAGAATATATACACGAGAGAAGATACGTCGATTCGCAAGAATTTTCTTTAAAATAATATTACGAAAAAAAAATAATGTCATTTTTACCCAGATGTAATTTCTTAATTAATAAAAAGCAAGAATGTCGTATTATTTAATTTGATGAAAAGAACGTGCTTTCTTTATCCTTGGCTTGCATAGTCAAAATTCAATGTCGAATGACCAAATGGAAGACTATAATAGACTTTGTCTCGTCGTAAATAACTGGCGCCGAGAATTTCCGTATCGAGTGGCCTAGAATCATTGCCAGCTTCATTGAAGGACTCTGTCAACCCTTTCTTTGTATAAAGAAAATAAAGAAATTTATTCTTATAGATGGCTTCGTGATACAATCACGAAACGGTTTCAAATAGAAATCTGATATATGTATATATATATATATATGCATTGAAGTAACGGCTCGAGCGACGTAAAAATCGTAATACCTATTTTTGTAGGAAAATGAAACGATACCTTGTATTCTACGTAGTATACTCTATATTCATACGCATGTCAATTCGTTAAAGGAGGATGTGATTTATTTGGATCTATTAAAAACGCAAAATATTACAGTATTAAATGCAAAAATATTGATTCCGTTCCACTTGTCATTGATGCGACATGAAGTAGACGTAAATTGGGTTCCAATCGATCGTCTATGTCGTTTGATGTATTTCAACCTAGACGGCGCTACGTTCGAAAAATATTTTTTCTTCTTTTTTGCGGGAAATCTGAATTTTATTAATTTGCACTTTCGATTTTATATGTTTTTAAAACAAAATTACACGTGCTACAAAACTATCATTCTCTTAAACGTTAATTGCAAATTAATTGCGCAAGTAATTAAATTATAAGTAAGTTCTAGAAGTTGCATAAGTTATTACGCATGTGTCATGAATAACACGAGCGCCACGTAGTAGTCAGAAACAGTAAAATCGTTACGTAGTTTGCAGAGTTTCGATTTTGTAAATAACAGTTGCACCGTTGTTGCGTCATGTAAGTAACTTCGACATATAATTTTTTAAATATCAGTAGCCGAGCTGCTTACAAATTATCGTTTTTAACAAACAAATTTGATCACTCGCCCATTCGAATCAAGTAAATCGTACGTAACATAAGGACGAATATTAGATTTTTTTCGTTGTATTTGGTTAAGTACATTTTTTCTACGTTTCAGGTTTAAACCATTTTCTTTTTCGTATAACAAATAATACGAGTGGACAAGTGAAACCAACAAAATGATGCTAGCTAGAGTTTGTCGAGTCGGCCTCTCGCCGACTCTAGTGAGTTTTATAAAAACTCCTATTGTGCCCAAACCCATGTTAACTAAAATTCAACCTTCGAGATTGTTTGCCAACGATGGACGTACCGCTTTTACGAGAACCGCACGTAGAAACCAGACTGTTGCAGAAAAATTGGCTCAACCAGCTACCGAAACACGTAAATTTGAACACTTACGATATTATGAATAATAATTTCTCGTCGTCTCCTCCATCAGTCATATATTTAATCGATAACTATATTTTAGCATTTAACGTTGGAAAGATTATACTCGCTGGTGCTTCCGCATTTGGATTGGGCTCCCTTTGTTACTATGGATTGGGACTTGATAGCAGGGCAGGAGCCATAGATCAAATGCAGTATGTACATGTATCTATATATATATATATATATATATATATATAAAGATAAGTTACTTCTTTAATTTATATATGCGCTAATACAATTGTTCGTTTTTACGCAGCTTTTGGCCTCAGTACGTAAAAGAAAGAATTAGAACGACTTACATGTATTTTGGTGGATCTGTCATTATTACAGCAGCATCTGCCGCTTTATGTTTACGATCCCCTGCTATGATGAATTTGGTAACTCGTCAAGGATGGCTCGCTATTATTGGCACAATGATGGCAATGATTGGGAGCGGTATAGTGGCACAAAGCATTCCTTATAAAGAAGGTTTGGGGATAAAACAATTGGCATGGATGGTTCATGCTGGTATAATCGGTGCTGTTATCGCACCAATATGCTTAATGGGTGGCCCGTTGTTAATGAGAGCCGCCTTGTACACCTCCGGTGTAATAGGTGGATTATCAACTGTAGCTATGTGTGCACCCAGCGATAAATTCTTAAAAATGGCAGGACCTCTTTCTATTGGTTTGGGAGTGGTATTTGTCAGTTCATTGGGAACGCTTTTCTTACCACCTACTACTGCTATAGGTGCTAGTCTTTATTCTCTATCTATATACGGTGGATTAATACTTTTCTCAATGTTCCTCTTGTATGACACTCAAAATATTATAAAGGATGCACAAGTATATCCTGTTTACCATGACAAGAGTATAAGACCGTATGATCCAATTAAAAAGTAAGTAAATTGTGAAGAGAAAAGATAATAAATTAAATCGTTTCACATAAATTAATTGAAAATATTTCCTCCTTTTCAGTGCTATTTCGATTTATTTGGACACGCTGAATATCTTTCTGAGAATCTTGACGATTTTATCGAATGGTGGATCCAACAGGCGAAAATAAATTCCCTAATAGGATAATCCTTCCTATACTATAATTAAATTATTTCAGTATCCGATGTAACATCCCATTTACGTACGATGCATAATATTAAAATACTTAATTAAACGATAACATTAAAATGCTTTATTTAAACGAAGCATTGTCATTTAGATGCGATAACGATTTTGTAGTTTCTAACGTTAATTTAAATAAATAAATAAATTAAATGTTAAAATTGCGACAAATATAATAGAAACAATTCTATTCAAGTTTTTCTTGAAAGGACAAAGATCGTCTAAGAGTCACAAAGTAGAGATAAAATTAAATGCACTTTATTGTCGTTTCTCAAGCATACCGTTTGAGAACAAATTAAGATATAGCCGCTAAGGTAGTTAAAGATACTTTACAAATTTAAGCTAGGGATTAATCCTAATTCGAGGTACAGCCGAAAGGGTTCGCTGAAAGGGTTTATCGACGCGGTGCTGACGGTTTTATTGTGCATTCGTATCGAGATATGGTGGTGTCGTGCGTAAGCGAACGCCGTAACGGAGCTTAACGCGTGCCATTCGCCGGCTAAGGCTGAATGCCGTCTCAAGGCGCGCGTCAATATTCGATATATTTTATATACGCGACAAATAATTTGTGTCACTTCGTTGGAGTCGTCCTTCGTGTCGAGTAAAATATTGCAAAAATGGAGCTTTCAATTAACGAGTGTTATGAAACGTTAATTATTGGCATAAAGGTATGTTAACCGTTTAAAGACTTAGTACGTAATATATATTTTATTCGTCGCGTATGCTTCAATGGAAGAGCTCCGGGAAAATATGCTACATTATTTTTTTTTTAAACGTTCACGCAGTCCGACTTTCCAATAGCCGACGTTACGGAATGTCTTCTTAGATAACCGGCGAATAATTGTCTTGCCTGATTAAGTACTCTAATCACATTATGTCGTCTAACCATTTTATCAAAATGCATAGCCATTTCATTGTAATCCATCTGATTCCGCATCACAAAGTCTCTATGTTGCAACAATAATGTAATACATAAAAACATTAGGAAGGGATTGCCACCGCCAAATTCATGCGGTGGTGGTAAAGAACTTTCTCCCGACTGATCCTCGCTGGTTCCTGCTGGGATCAAGTTTGTAAGCTCTGTCGCTTCTTCGCAATGCTCCTGGACCGGTTGTTTCGTTGGACTCTCAGGTGCCTCCGTATTTTGATGCCAACTTTCCGTACCCTCGCTATCCGATGCAGATTCAGATCTGTAATGCACGTACATACGTGTTACCACTTGAGCGCGCGCGTGCGCGAGAGAGAGAGAGAGAGAGAGAGAGAGGCAAAGAGAGAATGAGAGAAAGAATTTTGATATTTATTCTCATCAAATCCGAAATATTGCATGTCTAAAAAATAATCAAATCATAGGCAACCTTGCATTTCGTTTAAGCAATCTGATAGGCGTTACAGACTTGACACCATTTTGATCTTCCAATATCTCTCCATCGTATTCGAGATCAGCTTGCTCATCCGGAGTCGCAGGATGATGCTTTTGTTGCAAAGTATGTAGCGGATTTTCCCACACAAACACATCTGCCACTGGACTACACCTAGCTAGTTCCGTTTCCGTTTCACTTTCTGCTAGTTCGCTTTCTCGTTTCGAAAGAACGCAATCACATTGTTGTTCGCTCGGTGGGGAAGGACCAAAGACTTGCCGATCGAGAGATTCCAATTCCAGTCTTAATTCTCTTGTCATCGAAGTAGTCATTGGAAAAAAATCTGTTGGATCGTCCGGTGAACTTGGTTCGTCCCTAAGAACTCTAAGAACACCGCTCTCGCTTGAAACTCGCCTGTTGTACGTCATGTAAAAAGAAAGAAAAGGAGAAAAAAAAAAAAAAAAAAAAAAAAGAAGAACAAGAAAAGAAAATATCAATTATGCTTCCACGTAAGTTGTAAATGCATTGTACAGGGCATACCTAAGTTCTGGTTCGGCATCGCTAGGCGTTACTTTACTTCGATTCAGGCTAGTGAAATTTAAAAATTCGTTCAAATTTTTCACAACGCGCACACACTTTTTTTCCGGCGTATCATTTTGTTCGGTACCTTTATTTTGTTCTCTACTTTGAAGAGATAATCTTTCTTTCAATTCCAACAGATTAACGCGTTTCGACTTTCCGGTCAAAGAATCCGTACTATAACATTTTTCCGTCGATTCGGAATTTCTACGATTCTTGGTTGAGGTCAAATCATTTTCTGGCTCCGAAGATGTCTCGTAAGGAGAATTGGATCTACGAACAATCGTTAATATCAAATTAATAATCAAATTATTTTCATCCCAAAAATATTATAATCGAAATAATACCTCTTAATATCGCCGTTCCTTTCCGCAGCTGGCTGTACTCCAGATTCTTCAATGCTGACATTTTTTCGTTTTCCATTGGCTGCTATGCACGCCGATGAACTTTGTCGCCTAATCGCACAGACCTTCGTGTAAGCGTTCTCACGAATGTGTTTTACATTTGGACTGGGCGGTGGCGAAGGTGGTGGGAAAGGTACTTCGGCGAGATTTAGTTCACCGTTAGGCGGTTGCGCAGGGAGTGCAGCCCAGAGCACCTCTAACATCCTTAGAGCATCGTCCAAGGCAAATTCTCGTTTCATTTCCAATAGAAGCCAGCGATAGCAAAATAGAAGATCGTCCGCTTGGTGTGACTTTAGATAGGCGTAAAATTCTGGATCGTAATGTTGTAAACCTAAGGAGTGGAGGGAGGGGGAGGGGGGAAGAAAAAGACGAATCTCTCGTAATACAGAAAGAATATTAAAATCCATTGTTAATATCTTACCCTCGGCAAGATGGGCAAATTTCGTAGTCATCGCGATGCCATCCAGCATAAAATTGTCCTTCAATCTTCTCATAAGCGCGCAAAGGCAAATGTAGGCTTGCGCTTCGTCCCTCATAGTAACTAAAAGAGGCGACGCCAGGTCGCTCATGCCTTGACAATAGCTAACGCTCGGATGATTGAGAGCGTAAGTCGTCAAAATATTGAAAAGGCTCGCCGTATTTTGATTGTCATCCGAACCTCCATAAAATTTATGATGTCTGTCCGTTCTGAGAACGTCTTTTCTAACCATACCAGTAACATATCCAAGATCTCCAACGTTTTGACCTTTCTGAACCAATACCCGCCATCTCTCACGAAGATTTTGATATTCCTGGGCCTTTCTTTTCATATAATCCATCCTTTCGCGGCCGGACATACCTTCCGGATAAACATTGAGAATATGTTTCCAAACGACTTTTCGTAAACTGGGCTCGATCCCACCGAAGTAAATAACCGCCCTTAATTCTTTCGAATGTATCACCTGACCGATGGGATCCAAAAATCGACGAAATTCCGCATCCGTCAGAGGTGGCCTAGGAGGCTGAACACTTTGTTGGTGCGACGATTCGTCGCTCAAGTTACCCAACGCCCGCTGCACCATGTTTAAAGTTCTTTCCATCTGTATATGCGACGTATATGCGATTGGCAAAAGTTGAAATGATAATGATAATAATAATAAATCGTACTCGCCTTATTCATTATGAGGCCAGGTAACTTTGGAGTTTTATATGGAAAGCCGCCAGTTTCCTGGTGTCTCGTTGCCACCTCCTGAGCATTCTGTTCCCAATAGCAATCGCAATCGCCTGTCTCACCGAAAGGCTTTAGATTCACTTGCAAATAGAGGTAAGGTTCCGACGCACTAGAAATATCGAAACGGAGCGTTTCATCGTTCGCCTTATCGTTTTATTATTGTTCTCGAGAATATTACTGTATGGTTCTTTTTACCTGATGAATGCGGCGTCCAAGTCCCAATCGGAAAGTAGGAAGAGATACGTTTCCGAGCCATAATCGTCTATCGCTCGATACGAAACGGTAAATTCCCTGGACGATGAAAGAAAGAGGAAAGAAAAAAAAAAAAAAAAAAAAAAAGGAAGAAAAAAAGAAGATTTAATAATTGGTACGCCTTAAATCCAAAGATTTTTATCGTATCTCTTCGTAACTCCTCGTTGAGCGAAGATAGTAATTATTTTCGCTCGCAGGAGCATGTACTTCTTTTTTAATTAGTTAACGGCATAAATACTAATCCGGAGGTCTTATTTCGATATTTTTCTAATCGTACGCGTTATATGTCTCACCCTTTTATATCGAATGCCTTGATGAGTATACTTTGAAGAACTTCGATCGATGTTATCTGCGGATCGACGCTGAATTTTCGATATTCCGGTTGATGCCTGGTCTCGCATTTCTACGCAAGAGAGAAAGAGAAATTATTTGATATATCCTTTTAAAGAACCCTCGTAGCAGTAATCCCGTTGATCCTCTTTACATAAGAGTCACGTTCCTGTCGATGCGGATAAGGATTAACCTGACGCGCGACGGATACATGCGTGCAAGGAATCGAACAACAAATATTCCGACATTTCTGGAGCAACGAAACAAACATATAACGAGATATTTTGCCGCCAAATGGAATCGCGCCGAATCGATGTAATGAGAGATCGCCTCGAGTTTTATCTTTACGACGCTTTTGTGTCTTTCGCAATTCATTTGCGAATTGCGAAAAGTCATTGCTAAAAAAGAAGCAAAGTTAAAATTGCGTGTCCCCGATAAAACGCCGAATAAAATGTAGCTACGTTTTAATATATAGGTGGACGTGTTCGCTCTCAGAGAACTCGTTTCCTAAAAGGTTTTCCATTTATGCATTAACACAGTGTCGGTGGGAGGGTAGTAATAATGGTAGTAGTAGTAGTAGTATCGCGGAAGCGCTAATTTCGGATCCTTAGCGAGCGCACGAACATAAGAGAGCGCGGACTGCACAAGCCGAGCAGATCGATACGACCAAATATTTTCCTTTACCGAAGGACGAATTTTCGCGTTTCCTCGATGGTAATGGATTTATTAATTAAAAAGAAAAAAACACCAAGTCGTTAACCAGCCATCTTTCTTGAAACAGTCGCATAGAATATAACGAAGGAAAATAAACGATCAAATCCGCAGGGCCTTCGGCAGACCCTATGATCACCGATTGAGATTATATTCGATGACTTTTTTCAATCGTTGCACTTGGCTAAGCTACATCGTAAATATTTTCTTAAGAACAATGTTTTCCCAATGGCGTAACCACCTTCGGCGGAACAATGAGGAAAAAAGAAAGAATAAAGAAATGAAAAAAGGAAAAAAAGCGGGAAAATATAAGGTTAAAAAAACTAATTGAAGAAGAAACGTTCATACCTTCACTTTGACTCGCACGGCCTCCCTCGGACAGCCAAACATGTTCGACATCGAAGAAATGGCACGACGCTTCGTGTCTTGGGTATCAAGGAGACGAGTCCCTCACGACGACGTCACTGCGTCGGTTACGAGATTTTCCTTCGCGCCGCAGAAGGCCAACATCGTCCTACGACCGCGATCGACGTTTCTCTCCCTCTCTCTCGCTCGCTCTCGTTCGGTCGCTCTCTCACTCCTCTTTATCCACTCCCTTTTCGTCCTTCTCTTTCAAATCCTTCCCCTCTCTTTGGCCCTCTTGTACGTTATCGAAATCTTTGGTCTCGTTTACGATTTTCTTACAATTCTTCTATCTCTTTATGTCAAAAATCTTTTCGAATCCTTTCGAGATGCACGCTTATTTTATCACCAGAGATTCTTCCTGCATTATTCAGGGACGTTCCCTGTCATTCGGTCGGACGAAAAGGGATCGTCTTCATGGGATCTTTATTCCGAATACGATCGCATACCGGATACAAGCCGGATACCGGTTGAGATTACTCAAAGAAAAATAACAGAGAGGGAGAGAGAGAGAGAGAGAGAGAGAGAGAGAGAAAGAAAGAGAGGACGTTGACACGTTCAACTTTCTCTTATGGAAGAGAAAGACAGCTTCGCTGGAAACGACTATGACGTTTCGAGAATCCACCTTCGTTTGATTCAAGAATCTTCGCTCTTTATCCGTCGAAACAACGGTCACAAACGTCGACGTTTGTCTCTCTCGATTTTCCTTATGGTCACTTCTTCATTTTAATATGGTCCCTCTTACTATTGTCTTCGTTAAAACGTACGAATGTTCGTACGTTTAAATTGGATCATCAAACGATCCTCCTCTCCTTCGTTTACGCTATAGCGAAGCACGTTAACGAACACTACCTCGATTTTTGTCTCTCGTGCCAAGAAACAGACCTACTTCTTAATGCTAAATGCAACAAAGAGAGAATAGAACATACACAATGATCTTTCGAACCACATATCACGAGCGAAATGATGACAGAAATACGGCAGGCATTGATATCGATTGCGTAGAGTCGAAACTCGTTCGAGAAAGCGAATCCTAGTGTGCTCTGAAGATGTCGAGGAATAATGGAGAGAGAGAGAGAGAGAGAGAGACTTTAAAAAGAAAGACAAAGATAGATGGAAATAGAGGGAGCCTCATTTCGTTACGCAAGAATTTCCTTTTTCTTTCGATAGATAAGTTTCTTTTTTCTTTTTTTCCTTCGAACGATACATAAGTACTTCATTTTGATACGTTCGATCTTGCCCTTCGATTTTATTGAGAAAATGCGCCATCTTTGTTATATCGCTTACCAAGTCGACTTTCTTCGGCTAAGTTCGTTAGTTTCGAATTTACCGCGAGAACGGTTTTAACGCGAAGCGGTAAAAATTTCTTTAACGAGTACAAAAGTAGCCGATTAATATTCTCTCGCTTTAATTCGATAAGGTAAAAATACGTTGTATTTCGTGACGATTTTAATCATTATACGTCGTTAACGGCGAACGCCTTAACGAATTTTTCTTGTCTGGTAACCTAAAAGTGGCGCGAATCCTGGTGCTATTATCGTATCCATCGTGATAAACGTTTTCTCGATCATTTTTTATTATATTTTCTTGCTCGTTACACATTTTCTTCTCTATCGTATTAAACCTAAAAAATCTAAAGTGTTTTATTAAGTATCTAATTGCTTTCGTATTCTCGTTCGATTTATTTGTTAGTCGATCTGCGTTTGTAGCAGCGTATAAAGACACAGCGCGTGTGTGTGTGTGTGTGTGTTTGTGGTGCGTGCCATTAATTAATGAATAATTTTGGATTTTATTAACAATTCGAAGACAATGGCAATCAATGATTCAAGATTTATTGGAAAGAGTTACCACCTGGTGCGCGATACGATAACTAATGCTGCTACACTCGTTGAACTTTGTCCAGCGTGTGCTGTCACCTAGCGACGAAAATAATAATAATAATAATCATATTATCGCTGAGACCGTCGATATTGTTGCTGAGACCTAGTAAGAAATTATTAGAGTAAGAATTATTTCTCTCTTTTTATTTTTTCTTTATATATTACAAATATTTACGGTCGCTGTCATGAGAAAAATTCTCTACGATATAAATTCGTTTTTGTGGACGGATAAAAGATATAACTGAATTATCGGCGTTGCTTTGGTTGCAGGAATCTTAATATACGGATTTCGAAATGACACTACTCATAATATCTTTAGAAATCCAATCGAGATGAATCTTAATTGATACTTTTTTTTTTTTTTTTTTTTTTTTAATAAAACGTATAATGATGCAACGACGGTTATTCCCTTGCAATCTATTCGAGGTATCCATAATAGTATATAGTAGCAACATAATATGCACAACTTCCGGGAACTAATAGCATTTATAATAATTAATCATCGAACGTAACGATTGGGAAAATTACGAATTGCACTTATAAATTTGTATTCGAGTAAACAATAATGATCGACGAATGTAATTCTATGAACGAAGGATCTACGGATATTAGTATTCTTAATGAAAACTTGTCCATCTTGATTCTGAGATGTTCGATCTTTCGATTAAAGGGTTGCTTCGAGATTGCATCTGAATGCGTTTACTATTCATTTAACTGCACGACGGGACGAGCATTTCCTATACACTCCTACCGCTTTTATCTCTCGTAACTCGTTGCTGACCTCGATAAATCTTCGTTAGCGACGCTTTCGAATGGAGATAGTGGAATTGTGAGAGCAAGGGAAGTTTCCATGAAGATGAGGAGTGCCAGTAGTTTACCCTTTTCCTTTTTACCTTTATCCGAGTTCGCCTACGTTAATCCCGACAAATTTTATATTTATTTATCGCTGTCGTTTCGGACACAAGGTTATCGCAAACAATAACACTTCTTTTTTTATGCCCTCGTATATTTTCGTATCAATTCGTTTTCTTCTTTCCCCTCTTTTTTTTCTCTCTTAGTATAATTCCAATCATCGTTTCTAGAAAATTTATTTTTCTACAAAAATAACACTATGATTCGCTTTTGTGATCAATGAAAATTTCGTCCAAAGTATATCGTATAGTTCGTATCGACCAAACGACGACGTCAAAAGTCGTTGTTAAAACGAGCAGCTGAACGAAGAAATAAGTAATTTCTTTTCAGCGGGGCAGATAAGAAGAATCGAGCTTCGCGGTAGAAAAGGAAAAAAAAAAGAAACAGAACAAGCTGTAACCATGAAAACACGCCAATTTTCTTGGCTCCTAATTGATTCTCGATATCATTATTGGCGACACGATGGATGATGGGAAAGTAAGGGTGGAGAAATAACGAAAGAGATGTCGTTGTCGCGAGTCCTTAATGCCCGAGTAAACTCGATAAATTAATTGTGTGCGAGGGATAAAGAAAGATGGATAGATAGATATAGAGAGAGAGAGAGAGAGAGAGAGAAAGAGAGAAACAGCCTGTTGACTACGTCGGTACTAACTATAGAACCTAGCTAGTTGATTGACACGTTATGGCTCTCTGTTGATTTCCTTTCCAAGCAAATATTTGCTCTATAATATAAATATCTCGTTCCCCTTGTAAACGCACAAAAAAGAGGAAAAAGAAAAAAGTCGAAGCGGTAGAGTCCTCGATCCGTCCGTCTGTCGCGATGAATGCAAATGAAATCTGGGCTCGAGGTAAAGGTTAAAAACACGAAAGGGATGGTGGAATTTGGGTCGAGTGTCGCGTTGGAAGATGCACGATCTCAATTTGCACGAAAAGGGTAGTATCCATTTCCATGATGTAGGGAGGTCGAAATTCGTCCGGTAAAATTAAGAACAGCGGGGCAAAGAGCGAGCAGAGAGAGAGAGAGAGAGAGAGAGAGAGAGAGAGAGAGAGAGAGAGAGAGAGAGAGAGAGAGAGAGAGAGAGAGAGAGAGAAAGGTCGGCTGACAGAGGGTTGGAACGATTAGTCGCGTTCAACCCCGTTCGCGTCCTCTTTACGCTAATACCCTCAAGTGGCAACGTCATATACATATACGGTGGGCGTTGACGAGCATTGAGATTAATCACTCTCGCTTATATTCTCGTGGCCGTTCGAAGCTCTTGAATTCGTCGTAGATACGTATCTGTTTGAATTTTTCCATTGACTTTATTATAGAGAGGCACGAGATAGACAAGTCCATTGTTAACGATAATGTATTAGGTACGATTCAATGAAGAGCATTTTATTCATCTTTTCTCTTTGTTTTCATTTCATCTTCTTTTCGATCTAATCAATCGCAAAGAAGAGATCGCAATCACGTTCGAGACTAACGATAGGAACAGGGCATTTAGAATTGTTCGTTTATGCGCGAAACTTCGTTAGGATCTTTGCGTAAATTTTTTACAAACGTTGGAACCTCGCCAAAATCAAGATTTTTCTGTCTTTGAAGCTCGCAAACAGGAAATAAGACGATCGCTGGTGCGTGCTACCATATGTTAGTGATTTCAAAATTATTAAAATTATCTTCGCCTGAAAGATTCGTCCGTGATCGGTCTCGGATCGTTTTTATTTCTCTCTTTTCTGCTTTAAATTCGATATCGAGAGACACCCGGGATGTTTCTAGTTTTCGAGACTAGACGATGAATATTTATGAGGCCGTTGTGTATCAGCCGATGAATAGCAAACGTTCGAAACGTTTAAGGAATTTACGGAAGAGGATTCATTTCGTCGTTCGGTACTGTTACTTTTCAAAGAAACATCTCAAAGGTTCCTATCGTTTCTTTGGCATACAACGCCTCGCTTCTTTATTTATTTCTCCACTTCTATTATTCCGTTTGATTATTTAAAGGATCCGTTAAGTATTCGAGAGAGTTCTTAGATAGTAGTAGGACGGAGGTGGAGGAGGAGAGCAGTCGGAAATGCTAAATATCCTTTCAGGTTCTCTCTGTTTTAAACAAAACCGAGTGGAACGTTAGTTAGCAGAAAGGAAGGAAGGAAGGAAGGAAGGAAGGAAGGAAGGAAGGAAGGAAGGAAGGAAGGAAGGAAGGAAGGAAGGAAGAAGGTTGGCCGCTTCTTCTTTGGGCTTGTCAACTTCAAGTCTCATTTCATGGTTAGGAAAAGAGAAGAGGACGAGAGCAGAAGAACGATGAAGACAATGATGAAAAAAAAAAAAGAGAGATTCTCGTAGGCGAGGAGTTGCCAACTTATTAATCAACCTTCAGGAATTGTAAAATTATAGAAGTGGTAAAGGACGAGGAAGAAAAATGCATTGGCGTAGACTCGTTTTATTTCTTCAAAAGCGAAATTTACGAAAATTTCTATCCTTACGTACAAATATTTCCGGTTGGCAGGACAATTTCGAAAGACGTTTTCCACAAAAGCGTAGTCGAGAAATTCTCTTAACTTCTTAACTCGAAAAACCTCGCTTTCTCTCTCTCTCTCTCTTTTTCTTAGATCGTTATTCTCCATTCTACGTGGCGCTTCACGTGGAGACTCGCGAGCAGAATGGGCAAAGTCGGCGATGCGCGAAGGGCACATAATGGCGAACGAGGATAGTGCCGTCTAGAGGGCAAATCCGTGCTACGCTGCATTTTCGTTGTTCAGCGATACGTTCGGGCTTTCCACTCTCCTTCTTCTCTTTCTTCTTTCCTTCTCTTGCATCGCTTCGCATGCAAGCTGAAACATTTTTTTTCAACGAGCTTTTCTTGAGCATCGCTTGCTCCGACTCTTTATCTTTTTCTTTATCTTTTTTTTTTGCCTCGCGAACGCGTCCTCTTTATTCGCATTCGTATAAATCCTATTCGCAGAATGATCCTCCTTTTCTTCATCCTTCCTTCTCCTTTGAGAGAGAGCTCGTTTCTTCCTGTTTTAAACGGTAACCCGGGTGAAAGGGAGCGTACTTCACTGTCTCGATCGTTAGTTAGTTTGTTTTTCTTTTATTTTACATAAATGTTTCCGCTTCCGACGGGAAAAGTTTTTTCATTTCCTCTTAATAAAAATACTTTCCAATTTGACGCGCCATTGTTTGTGGCGTGGATGTCGTATCCCGCACAATCCCCTCCGAGTAGCTACTTTTT